TCCTCGTACCTTCGGTCACACTGTGCGCCTCGAGTAACGATCGCTCGCCGAGAAAACCTCGGATCTTCTTTCCGTACTTCTTCTGCCGTCTGCGGGCTCTTTCCATCTTTCGGGTGCGGCCTTTCAGCAGCATCCGAAGATCCGTGGAAGTTGTTGTGCTCGCAGCGGCTGAGCGCCGAGGTGATGGGCTCCTGTTGTCCCTCCTTCGATCGAGGCTCTCTTGTAAAGGAGGGCTCCTGCATCTCTTGTTCGCCTTGGCGACCTCTTGTTTCGAGAACACATCCACCCTCCTTTTCAGCGTAGTTGGACGGGACCCCCTGATCATAACGGGCTGTCCGGAACTCATGTCTCTCGCGCCACCTGCTGTCGTAGTCAGCGACATTCAGCTCGGATGGTACCCATCGCACATGGCACCGAATGCCGCATCCCAGGGAGTGCGCGGCCAACCGCCGCAAAACTCTCAGCAAGCCAAAATGAGCGCAACGACCCTTTTGAGCTGCAAGCACTGTGCCCATGTTGTCATTTAGAATCACCACGTGGGCACCATGACGATGCGCATCACGACAGACATGCTTCACTGCATTCAATATGCTTCTGGCCTCAAGTACATGAATCCCGTCCTTGTGGTCGAAGCCGGCTCGCCAAAGCAGTTTCCACTGCCCTGCGTCCAGCACCCAATGCGGAACCTCCGGGAATCTGTCATCTAAGGACCACGCCCTTTCGCACTCGCCCTCGACAAACGGCTTCACCGTCCGAATGTCCTCAAGAATGTCCCCGAGAGCCGATTCGCGAGGAGGGGGCTGGGACTCGCACCGATGGTAGCGCCAGCGCTCGTCCTCCTTCCCAACCTCCCGTGCGGAGGAACTCCCAAGGTCACGCTCGAGCACTGCGTAGCCGGATGGGCAGGCGTCAGTGCAATAAACTCTGGGATCCCAACTCGCACGAAGATCGGCGGTCCCTAACACCATGATACATCGGAACATCTCAATCTCCCGGAGCACTGAAGGCCAGAGCCTCCTCCGAACCAGGTAATTCTCCTGGATGAAGACGTATACGTGCCTCAGAATGCTCAGCAGGCCCCGGTTCAGCAGAGATCGCATTGTCATATGACCAACGAGAACCTGAAGCTCTTCCCCACTGAGTGCCGGCCTCGCCGAGCATGCCAACAATGCTTGATCAAGCCGATGGTCCCGAGCAGCCGAAACCTGCACAGTCCCCGACAAGCCATCGATGCGCACTCCCAGTGACTCACAAAGAGTGGTGCTATCAACCAGGTCATGCGTGTCCAAGCCCTTTGCATGTAATGCTGTGATCATTTCCCTCTGCGCCCGGTCCACCTTCTCCCTGTCAATCCCGAGGTGGTTGTGGTTGTCGGCATAGATGAGACTGGCCTCATCCATTTCCCCCGTGCCACCCCGGCCCAACAAAGGAGCAGGCTCACGGTCCCTAATCTGGGCCACCAACGGCAAAGTCCTGCGACTCAGCTCTGCATGGGCCTCGTGCGCCAGATGAAAGGCCCATGAAAACCCCATCGGAAGCACGCACATGAATGGGTAAATATGTTGGAAACCATCATCCAAGAGCTTGGCGACTTCGGCTGGCCGGTAGCCCAGCTCGTCCTGCAGCAATTTCGGGTCAATCGGTGGCAAACTGAAGAACTCCCCCAACTCCTGGCCGATGCCCAAGCGGTAGAAGAAGTCCTTCACGTCCTCCTGCGAAATGAACATCTGATCGCCCTCACCGATTTCCACACGAGCCCAACTGTCCATAGAACCGAGCCTGGTAGTAGGCGGACTGCGAAACAACTTGTTCGTCCTGCGGGCATCCAGAATAAGCCTCTGCTTCTGGTTCTTTTTTGTGACCACAAACACCCCCACCTGTGACTTCGGATGGGCTGTGAAGCCCACAAGCTGGCTCTGCACCAAATCGGCCACAAAGCCGTGGTACTTCTTGCCGCCACCCTCAAGTTGCGGATCGGTGTACATGTCACTCTCCAAACCTCTCTCTAAAACACCCCCGTGCTCCTCATCACTAAGCATCATGCGCCCTCGAAAATCCAACAGCATCTCCCTCTCGGCGTCCGGAAGCAAATCCTCCAAGCGAACAGGCTTGCCCTGACCCCGGGGGAGTGAAAGTCTCTCTCGCACATAGCTGGCCAATTGCCCCGGCATGCCATCGCCATAAGCGGACCCTGCCTTGCGTTGCAGCAGCTGCCGAAGCGCTGCCTGCGGTGAAATCTTTTCGGGAGGCGGGGGTCGCTGCGAGTGTGCATTCTTCACCCTCGCCAAGACGGCCGCCTGTGCCCGATTGGTAGACGAAGCCGGCCAAAGCGACTCGTCATCAAAACCGGCCATGTGATTCAAGGCCCAAATGGTTCCATGCGCCCGCTGATGTAGACAACGGCGTCGAGACACCCTTTGCCTGGACCGGCGGGAGGCTAAGGAAGAAATGTCAAATGGAAAGCCATCATCCACAGGATAAGGTAGAGGAAAGATGTCCCCATGGAAGCGGATGGGCTCACGGAAAACTTTTCTGGCACCCAAAACATCAACGGCAGCAGGATCGGCACCAGTCATCCTACCGCCGTCCCCCAACTCAGGGGGCGCTCTTGTCCTCCTTGCCTTTGCGACCCTTCCCGCCACCCTTCTCCTCGGGCTTGTCGTCGTCCCCACCTCGTCGAAGAAGATGGCGACGCTCCTCGGCGGCGAGGCGGGTCTGCTTCATGATCTCCGCCTTGGCTGCCTGTCGCCGGGCAGCGTGCTGAGTCAGCGCCGGGTCCACCAGGCTGCCGTCGGCCATCTCCCGGATCCCCAGCACTTCGTCCGCCGCCTCGTAGTTAGGAGCCTCGGGGCGGCCATGATGGGCTATCTCGATGAGGGCCCGCCGCCTGTTAAGCGACTCCGCACTTGCCAATGCCCCAATGTTCAGCTGATCATAGCACATCATAAGGTTTAAGGCACGGCAAAGCGAAGCATGCTCATGAATCGAGCGGTCGCCGGAGCGAACCCCCGACTTTCGGCACCAAGCCTCGTGATGCTGCACAAAGTCCAGGCCAAGCCTTCTCAACTGCCGCGCGTCTCGGCATATTGTCCTGGGCCCCTGAAGTGGGAAGTCATCGAAGTCAATCTCCTCGTGCTCCACGACAGCCTCTGCGACCGTCCTCCACCGCTCCTCCGCGGTGTCAAATAGAATGGGCAAGACCCGCACGTCCTTGGTTTCCGGCGCCTGAGCTCCTGTGCCCAATCGAGCTAGCTCGCTAACAGCAACAATCTCAGCAGCCACTATGCGGCTCTTGGACCGAATCAAACACCAGGTGAAAAAGACGCTGCAAATCCCGCCAAAGACGAACCCCACGACAGCGATGCAGAAGACCTCTGCACTGTCCCAACACTTCGCCAAGTGTCCTCGAAGGAACTCCAGTTCAGAAGTGCAACCAAAGGCCCCTCGGAGCTTGTCGCGGCAAGTGATCGCCTCCTCGCGCCAATAAGCAGCTTGATCCTCGGACCTCAAATCAAAGGACCCCGTGCAGCGTTCCTTATCTCCCCAGCCAGAGACCAGAAGCCTCAGAAGCTCGATCGCCACTCCCCGCGCTGCGGCGCGCCAAGGCAACATGAAACTACTAGCAAGAAAGACTTGAGGGATAAAAGGGCACCGGAGTCACGGGTTCTACTGCAATACAGCACAAGTGCAAACATGTGATGTGCTTGTGGGGGCTACGATGCTTCTTGCTTTGGAAGGCTAGACGGCCGGTGTTCAATGTGCTCCACTTCCTCGCTGACCTCTGCAATACTATCGGCAGCCGCCCTACTGCAAGACCTGCTGATAGCAAGAGTGAGAGCAGGTTGGTAATTCGCGGACGCTCGACGTGTGCTCTGGTTCTGTCAATGTTGGTACCATCGCTGTAGAACTGCGAGGGCACGAAGATGCATATTAGCCATTTATTTGCCGTGACATAGACATAGGCTTTGGTCTTGACAAGAGTGATTTGGCGTTGTGCCGTTTTCTTGTTGGGCCGGCCATTCTTCTCGGTAGTATTCTGCCTTCTTGCCTGCAATGATGCATGGCCCTCTTATGCCATCTTGCAGGTTTTCGACTAATTGCTACCTCGTGACATTCCAAGATATTCCAAGGATCTGGCGTAGATCTCAAGACTTGTTTGCAATTTCGCGTCCACTACTATGGGCAAGCTATAGCATAGTGATTCTGTAACATAACCACGTCTACCACAGGCCCATCGTTGGAACATGGCTCGGCACTGAACTTTCTTATCGAACTGAGAGCTGAAAATGTCTGAAAGCTTTCGGACAAGCTCAGCTGAGCCAACTGCTTGTTGGCTCATGTTGGCTCCAGTCGCGGCATGTGTGTGCATGTAGAGATTTGGCTTGCAATGATTCTGCATAGCCGATGCTGCAATTCAGACTGGCCTCGTGAAAAACGAGGCGTTTCCAACCTTTACACCGCGAGGCTGTCCTTCTATACTTGGCTCTCAACCCTCCCTCTTCCCTCCCGATAAATCTGTGGGGTCTTATCGGCTCCAAACGCACCAGCCCAAGTTGTGGGACATGCGTGACGATGCTCTCAGAGCCACCTTTGCAGCTTGGAATCTGCGCGACATGCTCCGCAGCAGCGCAGGTGCAACCTCCCACATCAAGTTGAACATGAAACTGGACTTCTGAATACTGCAAGCCTCACCGGCACCTTCAACTGCCTTCCACTAGGCTCACACCAGTCCAAGCCGCCCAGCCTTGTAAACCAAAAAAGTACGGCACTGGATGGATTGAGCCGAAAGTTGCCGGAAGGCATCTTCATCGGCAGTGTCGGGTCAATGTGAAGTCTGCCAGCGTCCCGCATCCAAAAAGTCTGCGTGCACGTGCACACAAGTACTGCGTCGGGCCTTTCAAATCATTCATAGTGATTCATGCTAGGCAGCCGCCTTTAATCTTAGTTTAAACCCACCTTGTAGGCCTTTTGGGGAGAACCTTCCGTTCTTGACCAGATGCTTGTTGTCCAGCACGCGGTGGAAGTGGACTCCCCCAAAATCATGTGCCAATCTTCCAGGACCTGAAACAGAAGTGCGCTTACGCATGGAACAGCAGCCGTAGAAGTGCGCGGCGCCCCCTTCGGAAATCATGTTGAACCGACCCGGCCCCGCCGATCCCATCAGTGTGAGGCTCAACCTGCAACGCTTAGAGCATCGCAATGAACATGACAACGTGTCAGGCTCTTCAATTTCTAAGTCATTCGAAATGGCAATGCGATGTGAAAGCCACACGCATTCACGTGTCTCATCAGATTTCATCAACGCTTGGGAGAAACCTAATTTTGAGACGATTAGCTGCTGTCAGTTCGCAGAAGCAACGTGCGTGCGACTTTCACAGTTCTTAATCCCACAAACTTGGGGAACACGGTGTGCTCAAGCAACTAGCCACGTGTCTAGCTCGGTGCCTTGACTTTCCAGCTCTTGGACGAAGTCGAAGTGCAGTAGCAGGCGCAATATGCTGGGGAATGCCTCGCAACTTTGAATCACACATAGGCAGCAGAACTTGAAACGATTCGTGGCAAAGTTGCAGGGCAAAGGTCTGCATAAGGCGTCTTTAGAGATTGGAATTCATGCCAGTACAGACCTCCTGCAACCCCAAGCCTTCAAGTCAACCGTTGATGCAAAGTTCGATGTCATTCTTGGTTTGCTGCAGCAGCCCCGGTATGCGGCATGTACATGAACTAGCTCCGATGTGGGCATAGTGGACAAACTAGACATGATTACACCGGCACAGCCCGCCAGGATCGAAGAGTTGAACAGGGAAGCATTCGGCAGAGGGATGAACGAAAAGCAGACTTGGGCTCTCAGTGTGGCATCGTCAACGTGTCAACGTCACGTGGGTTGAGGGGCTCGGCCGGTGTTGGGGCAACTGGCTCTTGTGGCAGCTGAGCATTCACGAATGTCGAAGGTGAAAGCAGTGAAGGATGCTAAAGGGCACCTGGTTTGGGGACGAGGGAGAGCAGACTATTCCATTAGGCGTGCCGTCAAGCGGTTCTCACGGAGTCAAAACATGCGCTGCATGCTCATGAAACCTCATGAGCCAATAACGACTCTTGCAACATCACCGACCGACAACTACAGGCTCTACAGGACTTGGAGGTACACGCGATATAAGCACACAGTCTTCGATAAGACCACTCCCTGGGCCCGCAGTTGTTATGACTTGGGCAGCTTACTGGCAGCTTACGACGCCAAGCCCTCGAACAAAGGCTTCCCGCATTAATTGTGCACCCCCTAATCTTGAAAGCACAATTTTCGGAAAACCCTTCTGAACTCGTCACCGCCGGAGCAAAAGGCGCAGCAGGAGCAGGAGCAAGATCCCGCAAAAGTGACGGCAGAGACAACAGCTCCTCGAATATCGAAACACTTTCCGCGTCCATATTAGGGGAAGGGATTATGTGCCTCAGGTCTGCTCTTGCCCGGGCGGTTGGGCAACTACTCACTTCCAGCAGATTTCCATGCACAGCTTTCATAACAAAGAAAATGCACGAAGCAGGCTTGGACACGAAGGAGGCGAAAGGTTCCAGTCCTCATCCGAGACGAGCGTCTGCAACTTTGGCACGAGCTCCAGCTTCATCGGAAAATAATTTGTGCCAACTCCCATGATGCTATGCCTGGCAGGCTAATTTAGAAACAGAGCAGCTCCTGTGCGGCAACTTCTTGCCAACTGCTGCCTGGGTGCAAGAATAACACGCGCGGCGAATGGCCTTTGAAGTGAGCTGCGCAGTATTCGTAGCAAAACTGCAGGTGATCCAGGAACGATCCATCAGCATGTTCCATCCTGGAAATGCCCCGCAACATGCCCCTGCGAGTGGTTCGGGTGCTCAGGTTTTGAGCGTGGATCCCTCCGAATAATCCGAATATATGCCCATATGTTGATTGCAGTAACTTGTAGCAGCTTGTGGCGCCGGTGCAGGAGCCATGTGATAGTAACAAGACGGGTCCCTCTCCTGAGCTGGGGCAACTCTTGGCGACCGACCGAACGAACGATGGTACGAAAGAGCGAGCGAGAGAGCGTGTGAGCCCATGCATACATTGACATACACACACCTATGGGGAATCACAGAGACACGCAGAGAAACACACAGCGCTAGAAGGCATGCACACACACAGGCAAACAAACAAACAAAGACCAACCCTTTCCCTACTCCAGCCTATGCCACGCCGGGTGAAGCCTGGCGTACCCCAATGATTCCAACCCATCTGTCCAACCTGTTCAACATCATCCAACCCACCCACTCAACCACCCGGCCAATCACACACCCGCTCGCGAGCCCACATACGTGAGAAGATTCTCTTGGGCTTCCAAAGCTGCGCCAACCCATCGAAGGACGGAAGCGATCCACAGGTGTGGCAGTCCTAAGAACACCAAAGCGAAGCTGAGTGCTGAAGCCGACGACAGGAAGGATCCGACAGTAGCGCACTGCCATGGCGGGCAGGCGCCTGCCATCTGCTCTCTTGCCGGCCCGACCCTCAGAAAGCCTGCACAGTTCCTTTTTCTTTTCGCCTTCATTGCGGATTCCCGCTGTGGCAAAACTCGCCGAAATCGACCGTGATTTGCGAGACTCCCCGCCTCATAACCTAACCAGTGATAAGCAAAGCTGCTACTTGTAGAGGAAGCTCGCACGACGGCCATTTTCATACTGATCTCGACCCCGTCTGCGAACATGAAAATTGCCACAAGAAGCATGGGAGATCGAATCAGCACATTCAAAGTCGAGAAATCGCTTCCTCGTGACATTAGCCCAATGAAGCATCGACAATCATGTTGGGCCCTAAAAGATCCAGAAGACTAGGGACGGCGAGTCAAGACGACAGCTAGCTCCGCCAGTAGGGAGTCCCCTAAGGGCCGCCAAAAGGTCTGAAAACAAAGACCTAAATATGTACTTTTTCAGCCCACCTTTTTCCTTGTCGGAGGCAGACCGTATCGCATAGTAGGAGTTGGAAGTTCATTGGCAGAGCATCCGAAACCCTGTAATTTCAAGAGCAAGTGCATAGTACAAAGTGTGAGTAGATCTCCTTTGCCAAGCCTTCCTGTTCTCAAAGATCTCTCAGGATGTCAGGAACTTCAGGCGATACGGGAGTGCAGGACTGCAGACACTGCAAGGGAACTGCAGGCTGCAAGAGACACATGGACAATCGGCTGCAGGGGGACCGTAAAACCACAGGCACGGTAGGCAGGGGACTTCAAAGAGCCTCAGGAGAGCAGGACGGCAGGGCGAACTGCAAAGTGGAAACGGTTGGAAAGAAGAACGGAGGATCATGGAAATTCTCATCCATATCATCAACTGTTGGGGGGCCAATCGCTTCATCAAGAAGGATCTGTAGAAACCAGTGACGGGTTTGACAGATGCAGCTACGAGTGTCCAGGCCTGAAGTCGCAGTCTTCCGTCCTCAGTTCGGTCGCAGCGCACGAAGGATTAAGTGAGACCCAGCGACATGGCACAGACGGAGGCAGCGAGTCTCGTGCGAGAGTCTCAGCACATTCTGAACCCAGATGTCATGCTGACAGACCCAAAATGTCCGGTAATGAGCTTTGGTGCAAGACTGCGCCAAGCGGCATGAAATCGAGCAGTGCCTGATCCGATGTCACAGGCACAGAGAAATTCCACAGAACACCTGCCTGCTCGTGAGCCGGAGCTGCTGGGAGGGCAGCAAAAGCACCTGCGCCCAGCATACGCAAAGGGCCCTCGTCGCTGGCCCGCGGCCCCTTGTCTGGGTGGCACTGTGGCAGGCGATGGCGGGCGGCTGTGCGGAACTTCCCAGGACAACGCAGAAAGACGGCGGAGAGAAAGTGCAAACAATCAGACAGACAGGCTCATTGAGGCCTTCCCAAACTTCGAGAAACCAAAGGCTGTCGGAATATCGGATGGCCGCAGATGCGTGTTCTTACACTGCCGGGCCGGTGACAGACACTGCGAATGTTTGCTTGAAGCGTCACACAGGGCGGCCCACGATTCGATTTCTCATTGCAGTAACAACAAGAGCCCTGCCTTCGATTCGACGTGCAGCATCCTCTGTCCAGAACACCTTGTACGGGCAATAACAAATTGAATGCTGCACCAGGCTCTACTTGGCCATGCAAAGACACCAGCACTTTCACCTGCGACAGGCTGCACCAGAATGTGGATGCGTACCTCCCAGCTGTTCCATTCTTTGCAAGACGCCTCGATTCCCATCCGATCTTTGGTAGCGAGGCGGGCCAGTGTGGTGTCCTTCGCACCACCAGGCACTACTCAACTCGCAGGACTGCCTCTTCCTCGCCACATGATGGATGTGTGGAAGCTCAGCATGGCAAAGGAGTCCAGTGTCCGGAAGATGGTCTTGTCCAGGTCGAAGTCTCTGGAGGGCTGTACCTGAGAGCGAATCCTCTGCACTAGCCTGCACATCCGTCACACATTCACAGTGCTGCGTGGCGACGACCACATCAGTACCATGGTCAGAGGGACGCCCGCGAGCTATTTGTGCCTTCTGCCTCGCGAAGGATGACGTCCAAACAAATTCAACCTCGTCTCTCCACTCTCGCTTGGAAGTTACTGCTTCCACCGCCCTTCGGGATTCGCAGAACTGGACCTCTCGATGTCATCGTTATTCATCGTTGAGTACGTGCTTGAGAAGAAGCCACGAAAGCTAGGGCAACAAAAGGAAGCGGAGTCGAGAGAGCTCGGGTTGTTGAGTGCATGATCGGCAGCATGGATGCAAGCACATATGTCATAGGCATTCCATGAAGCTTCAACCTGCAAGATGCTTGCGTTCTTCTGCTTCACACTAGCCCGCATACAGATATGCCTTTGTCGTACCATAGTAACGCCGTAGTACTTTGACCGACCTCATTGACTTCCGGAATGCTCCTGCATTAGCAATAACTCGGCCATCTACGAGCAGCTTCGAACTGGTGCAGCAGACTTGAAGCCTGCTACGCAGATTCGCTCGACCGCGTAAAGACAAAATACAAGCTGCCATGCTGCCTTACCACGATAACAGATGGACCATTAGGCGGGACCAAAGGAGACACTCCGCTTGTGCACGACGTGCTTAGAAATGTGAGAGGGGGGCCCCCCAGCTCACCTTGTGCAATGCTGCTGCCGCCTTGTGGTGGTGGAGTCCCTCTCCGTGTCGGCTCTGAACATAAGACAAGATAAGGTATTGGATCCAGTTTTCAGCTAGTTTTCTTTTGCCACTCCAGAAGGGATCAAGTGATCGGATGACTTTTCAGGAAAGCTTAAGAGGCAGCCTTCCGCGGCACCTAGGCGCGTTGAGATGCATGATGCGACGCGTGCTGATTGAAGGATGGGGCAAGGCAATGTCGTTTCTGCTAGGCCGGCATCGGACTTTCCACCTCTCTTCACCAGAATCTGAAGGCCTCAGATCCAGCTTCCCGGCCATGAAGGGGCAAGAATTCCTCGGTCAGTGTCACGATGTGAAAGCTGCCATGCCAGCATATCCTAGCAGCTAGCAGTGAGTTCGATTAAGTATGAAGCTGTCGCTGCCGCAGCTGGCAAAACGCCCACAGAGAGTCGTCATGACACTCCGGAGAGAATTGAACGTCCCTGGCAGCACGTGGATGGCGGTTTCCCCTCATCGCAGGTTACGGCTTGATGTTCTGCGGTCTCATGAAGCTAAATGTCTCGGGCGGTCTCGGTACATCTTGCTGGAACTCGGGAGGGCACGGTGCCGCCAGAAATGCTGGAAACCTTGCCGCCTTGAACCAATCTTTTTCGCTTGAATCTCGCCGCGATGGCCATATTCCACAAAAAATGCTTGTAAGCAAGAACTTATCGAAGCTCCAGCACGCTACCTCGACAAAAAGCAGCAAGGATAGGCTTGTGCCCGCACGAGGCTGTACCAGACCGTGCAGCACCATTAGTCGGTCCTATTGTAGTCGCGGTGTGAATGACCTTGAACGACGCAAAGGCTTGACTCAGGCAAATTTGAGACGAGGCTCTGGAGCCATCGATACACTCTGTCTGGATTCCGAGCCAAAAGTAACGGGTTGAAAGCATCACGTCAACATCAGAGCAGATCACTGCACGAAACGAAATGGTACGGAGCACCTAACCACGCTTCGCCTTTCAACCGTAAGTGTCTTAAGCGACAAGGAAGCCAAAATAACCGGCGATCGCACCTTCCTTCGTTCGTTGTTCATAGCACTACGAAGCTGGCAGACCATGCACAGAACCAGCCGCAAGCAGCAGACTATCTTGGCATGTGACACCGACCTCGATGCACCAGCCAGGCATCACCAACTTGTTTGCGTGAGGAAACATTCGCCGCTTTTGCGCCGGCGGTCCAATGACTGGTCAATCCAGCAGCGGGCAGCGCTGTAGGATTTGCCGTTGCACCTCATGGAGAAAACGTGGCGCAACAGCGCCACGATGCAAGACCTACCCAAGCTGGTGTCGTACTGAGCTGCTACAAGTACTACCCACACTTTCGGGGGGGGCTGGAAGTCTGCACAGAGCTGGCCTCGAAGTGCTGGAGCTCCTGCAGCGAACAGCGACTCAACACGTCTCGCCAACAGTAAAGCCCGCCCCAGAATCGGTCTCCTACTTCCTTTCATACAAAATCTGTCTGCAGCTTTTGCGACAAATGTTGCCCAAACAAGCCTGTGCCAGCACCGATGCCGGAATTAGTTAGGTTATTTGCAGACTGCTACATTGACATTCCCAGAAGCCAACATGCGAGGTCTTGCTAGCTGCTAGACGTCCGTACAACTGATTGATTCCATTCAACGCGATTCCCTGAAAACCTTCAACCATTCCGGCTACCAGCAAGCCAATGTCTGTGTCGAGCTCTTGCCTGAAACAGCTTTCCGCTCGCTTCATCTTGGCTGATGTCTTGGCATCACAGCACCGTCTCGAGCAACAGAGACCATGTCAACGGCAAAAGGCCGCATGTCCATGTAAGGCAAGCAGGTAAATCCTTCCTGGTAAAACAAGTCTCTGCTCAGCAATCTTGCTGGAATCAGTTTCCCACTCGCTTCATCTTGGTTAATGTGTTTATGTCTTTGGCATCACAGCACCGTCTGAAGCGATAGCAACCATGCCAGCATGTGTCAGCGAAAGCAGGCCACATGTCCAAGTAAGAGAAGGGCGCAGCGCAACTTCCTCCCGACGTTCAGCCAATGCTGGTAAAACAAGGCTCTGCTCAGCAATCTGAAATTGGTTATGTCCTCGATTCTTTTTGTAAGTGTTTGGATACCTTGGCACCACAGAAACGTCTCGAGCAACAGCGATCATGTCGAAGGCGCAAGGCCAAGAGTCCAAGTAAGACAATAACGTATCTGCCTCCCCACTTTCAGCCAATGCTATGCTGGTGAAGGACATCTCTGCTCAGGACGCTTTTGCTGGAATCAGTTTTCCGCTCACTTCATCTTGGTTAATGTGTTTATGTCTTTGGCATCACAGCACCGTCTCGAGCAATAACGACCATGCCAGCATGTGTCAGCGGAAACAGGGCACATGTCGGAAACAGGCCGCATGTCCAAGGAAGAGAAGAACGCAGCGCAACTCCTTTCCAACCTGCAGCCAGTGATGGTTGAACAAAGCTCCACTCAGCAAGTCTCAGCGATCTTGCTGCAATCAGCTTTTTCTTCCGTTCTTTTTGGTTATTGTGTTGATGTCATGGCATCACAGCACCCTCTCGAGCAACAGCGATCATGTCAAAGGCGCAAGGCCACGTGTCCAAATAAGACAAGGACGTAACTGCCCCTCCCCACTTTCAGCCAATGCTATGCTGGTGAAGGACATCTCTGCTCAGGACGCTTTTGCTGGAATCAGTTTTCCGCTCACTTCATCTTGGTTAATGTGTTTATGTCTTTGGCATCACAGCACCGTCTCGAGCAATAACGACCATGCCAGCATGTGTCAGCGGAAACAGGGCACGTGTCGGAAACAGGCCGCATGTCCAAGGAAGAGAAGAACGCAGCGCAACTCCTTTCCAACCTGCAGCCAGTGATGGTTGAACAAAGCTCCACTCAGCAAGTCTCAGCGATCTTGCTGCAATCAGCTTTTTCTTCCGTTCTTTTTGGTTATTGTGTTGATGTCATGGCATCACAGCACCCTCTCGAGCAACAGCGATCATGTCAAAGGCGCAAGGCCACATGTCCAAATAAGACAAGGACGTAACTGCCCCTCCCCACTTTCAGCCAATGCTATGCTGGTGAAGGACATCTCTGCTCAGGACGCTTTTGCTGGAATCAGTTTTCCGCTCACTTCATCTTGGTTAATGTGTTTATGTCTTTGGCATCACAGCACCGTCTCGAGCAATAACGACCATGCCAGCATGTGTCAGCGGAAACAGGGCACGTGTCGGAAACAGGCCGCATGTCCAAGGAAGAGAAGAACGCAGCGCAACTCCTTTCCAACCTTCAGCCAGTGATGGTTGAACAAAGCTCCACTCAGCAAGTCTCAGCGATCTTGCTGCAATCAGCTTTTTCTTCCGTTCTTTTTGGTTATTGTGTTGCTGTCATGGCATCACAGCACCCTCTCGAGCAACAGCGACCCATGTCAAAGGCGCAAGGCCACGTGTCCAAATAAGACAAGGACTTAACTGCCTCCCCACTTTCAGCCAATGCTATGCTGGTGAAGGACATCTCTGCTCAGGACGCTTTTGCTGGAATCAGTTTTCCGCTCACTTCATCTTGGTTAATGTGTTTATGTCTTTGGCATCGCAGCACCGTCTCGAGCAATAACGACCATGCCAGCATGTGTCAGCGGAAACAGGGCACATGTCGGAAACAGGCCGCATGTCCAAGGAAGAGAAGAACGCAGCGCAACTCCTTTCCAACCTTCAGCCAGTGATGGTTGAACAAAGCTCCACTCAGCAAGTCTCAGCGATCTTGCTGCAATCAGCTTTTTCTTCCGTTCTTTTTGGTTATTGTGTTGATGTCATGGCATCACAGCACCCTCTCGAGCAACAGCGATCATGCCAAAGGCGCAAGGCCACGTGTCCAAATAAGACAAGGACGTAACTGTCTCCCCACTTTCAGCCAATGCTATGCTGGTGAAGGATATCTCTGCTCAGGACGCTTTTGCTGGAATCAGTTTTCCGCTCACTTCATCTTGGTTAATGTGTTTATGTCTTTGGCATCACAGCACCGTCTCAAGGCACAGGGATTATGCCAACAGCCAAAGCCATGTCCAAGATCCACCTTTCAATTCTGTCCTGCCGCTGTTCATGAGCCGGCAGCCTGGCTTTGGGGTTCTGTCGCCTCAGGCCTTCGGCCCCAACCAGCCTCGCCCCCGAAAGCCCAGACTACTTCTATTTCGGCCGCCCGAAGCCATCCAAGAAGTCGAAAGCACGTCGAGTCACGAGTCCCCAGTGAAAGGTGTGAGACTGACTCTGTCGAAGTAGGAGCTGACAAAAACTAGTGGGAAACAGCTTGGGGATGCTTCGAAACATTCCGAAAGGAACATGAGGGATGCTACATGAAATCTGAAGGACTCTGACACGAGCATTTGTCAACATTGTCTGGTTCTGGGTGGGAGTTACGACGCTCTGACCGAGTGGGCAGGTGGTACACCACCGGACCGCAAGGGATTCTTGGGACACTGTTGAACTTTTGGTTCTTGCAGACCACGAGATTAAAAAGCAGTCGCACATGAAAGGTGACAAACCCAAATCCATCATGAGTTCAAGGAACGGCGCTACGTGGCAAAAACAAAAAGGTGCACGGTTTTGCTGCTTCGACCTCGAGGACCCCTTTTCATAATTTTGTCGCATCCTGAAGCGAGTCTACATTACCAGCGTATCGCCGGGTTGATGGACAGCTTCACCCACCTGCATTGCCAGTTCAAGCGACTGAAGTGAACTTCAACCCAGCTGAAGGCAATGGCCGTTCATCACGCTTCTTGCTATTGATCATCGTTGTCAGAACCTCACCATCCCTTCCCCCCGAATGTCCTCTGCGATATTCGCAGCAGTGCGTCCTCTGAGGTCTTTGGACTCCACTTGGAAGAAGTCCTGGAGTTCTCGGAATACAGGAGAGGCATGCAAGCACTCTTCCCACGAATGTGCATCGCACCCAACACTACCAAAAAAAATAACACGTGCACACATCTGCATATGCATATGCATATGGCTATGGCTATGGCTACGTCTATGTCTATGTATATGTGTATCCGTAGCCATTTTGGCTCAAGAGGGCTCGAAAGGGCCGCAGCAGCACGGAACTATCGTTAGCCCCAGTGCCCATGGAGGGCACGCCTTCACCTAGCGCCGCACTTGCGAGGCGGCATGCAAATCTTTGTCAAGACCCTGAACCTCACATTGGACGTTGAGGCCAGTGACAAGTTCGACGACGTCAAGGCTAAGTCCGACCAGCAGCACCTGATCTTTGCTGGCAAGCAGTTTGAGGGCGGCCGTACTCTTTCGGATGACAACCTCCAGAAGGAATCGACCCCTGGCGGCATCCAGATCTTTGTCAAGACCCTGATGCTCACCTTGGACGTTGAGGACGAGCAGCACCTGATCTTTGCTGGCAAGCAGTTTGAGGGCGGGCGTATTCTTTCGGATTACAACCTCCAGATGGAATCGAGCCCTCACTTGGCGCCGCAGGCGGCATGCAGATCTTTGTCAAGACCCTGAAGCTCACCTTGGACGTTGAGGCCAATGACAAGTTCGACAGCATCAAGGCTAAGTCCCAAGATAAGGCAGGCATCCCGCCCGACCAGCGGCTGATATTTGCTGGCAAGCAGTTTGAGGGCGGCCGTACTCTTTCGGATAACAACCTCCAGAAGGAATCGACCCCTGGCGATGGTAAGCACGATCGTGACATGCGGCATTATGAGTTCAAGATTGAAGGCACTAACGTTGCTTATACGATAGGCGAGCGCCTTGACATCTGGCCCCGCAGCCCGGTAGACCAGGTCCTGGAGTTCTGCGGCATGTCAACGGGTTCGTTGGGCGCTTCGCTTTCGTTAGACTCGGACCTCACATGTGTTGGTGTGCATATATACGCGGTCACTGTATGCAGCGGCACGTCTCAGAGGGCACAGTGATGTTTAATTTTCCATTGTGAGGGACCTACCCTGTAGTTGGCCTCCCCTGTTCCCTGGAGGAATAAGCTGAGGGTTCAAGTGTGAATGCGTTGTGCATGGCACGCATGTTTCGAGTGGGACGTAGCTTGAATGAAGCCACCATGTGGGGCTTTGAAAGGCTTTGTCTTGTAGTTTGCCTCCCCCGGCCTCCGGAGGAATGCTCAAGATAGTACTGTTTTTGCTCGGTTGCCGGTTGTGAAAGGTTCTACGGTGACAAGTAGAACCTCAATCGAGCCCGGTTGCGTCCGTAAGGTAGCGTTTTTGCTTTCAGTCCGAGTGCCAGGCAATTGTAAATTGTGTATGGCATGTCCCCATCAATGCCGGCAGCGGCCGTCCCTTGATGGCTCTAGTTTTGACTTTTTGAAGAGATGTGCATGGCCGAGACAGCTTTTGTACATGCTGGTTCCATCTTGGCATGCTTCCTCTTCTGCAGACTTCTGCTCCGCTCGGGTTTATTCCGGGCGAGTGCGCACTGCTTCAACCCTGAATTCATTGCTAGGCGTGCGTCCTCTGGACCCTGAACGCTACGAAGAAGCAGTGTATATATATATATATATACATATATATATATATATATATGATGTACGCATATGGGGCTGCCCATATTCAGCGACCAGCTGTTTCGCTTCCCCAGGGGTTGTGAACTATCTCCATGTTGCAACCACCTGACTAGGTTCTAGCCGGTGACCGCCAATGTGAAAACTTCACACTGTGTTTCCGTAGCCTTCCCTAACCTTGAGACCATGCAGTGATTACTCCAATCCCTTCCCACGCCATGAAGCATCCATTCGTTTAATGGCTTCAGTTGTCTAACGGTTTACGAGATCCTCTCTCCCCACATGGACAGAACTCCTTGGTTTAAAGGATTTGTTGCTCAACGGTGGCCCTCTGTCCATTGGGGGAAAAGGATTGGATCGATGGCTTAATGGTTTCGTATTGTGCGGTTGTACGTACGAAGCAGGTTTTTGGCTTCTCACACAACCACAGGTACTAGCTACAACTGAAAGCCCGAGGTACGCGTTCACAAACATGTGCACCCGTTGAGCTTTTGCTGTATCCCTGCAAAATATGCCGTGCATATGATGCTTCATATACGGCTTTAAAAATAATCGTATAGACGTATGGCCCTCACCACATTCGTCTCTGCGCTACCTCTCTGCTATCGAATCGAAAGATCTGTTCTACGTACGATACTGGTATACGCACTTTGATGTTAAGCAGCAGCTAGTGCAAATCGCCATAGCTAGAGCAGCTAGATGCCAGCTAGCAGTATACTGCTGAATCTAATGGTTGACTAATTACATTGCGACGACCATGCATACCTCTTCGATTCTGAAATTACCTACCCTGCATGTCACGCCCGCGATAGTGTGCTTATATGCAGGGCATATTATAGACACATGTATCTATCTACACATGACATATGGGTCTAAAACAGTATGCGGTTGTATACTCACGTAGACTAAGTAGTAAACCGTCACATGTAGTTCTGTATTATCACGTATGGCTACCACTTCCATATACCACTGTAGCATGTTACTTGCTTTTGCGTGACATACAGACCCCTGTAGACGGTGCTTCGAAGTGTTGACAGTGTTGCTGCACTATTGCCAGCAAATGCAGTGCATGCCGCCACTAAGTTTGTAACGAGGGCACATGCCGCTGTCCATCAGGATGTGTTTCTGTATTATTCCAACCATGCATCGGTCTAGCTTCAGTTTAAGGTCATAGCGTATGCAATTGTAAGAAGTGTAATGTATGCTCCACGACAGGACTACGTAGACTTTGTTCGCACGATTCAGCGAACATCCTTCTTATGCGCAGCACTGGACTCGTTGCTATGCCGCAATCATGCGGTAGTGATTTTGTTGTCATGCTCGCGACTATTGACATTGTGGTCATGCTGTCTTTTGACAGTTTTCTAGCCTGTATGTAAGCATGCGTTCTGTTGCATGCCATTATGTAAAGCGGCATCTTTCTACATGTCACGGCTTGTTTGACCTACATAGAACTTGTAGTACACTGCAGCGCAGCACCAGATATTCTTCGCCGGATGTACGGATTTTTAACTATGCATCCTGCCTCCGTGCACTATACCAGATTCTCATATGTTGCTTAAAACTCTGGGTTTTGTCTAGGGGCCTACCTAAGGGGAAAGGCTTGGTGGGAGAAGAAAACCGGGACTTAAGAGCCATAAAGCCCGCATGTTTCTAATCACCCATGTCAGTTACAACCCTTTCCCCTGGCCCCTGGGAGAGGGATCGGTCATGGATTCATCGGTTCTTGGTTTATTGCTTGATTAGTTGAACCAATAACAAAGCAGTCAACCAGTGAACCGACAAAGCAAAAACCAACAAATCAAAACACCAACGAGCAACTGATCCTGCCCATAAGGAGGAAGGGATTGGATTATTGACTTTGATATCGGCATATTGGTTTGTTGGGCAAGTGACTCATGGCTATAACCACCTACCGGAGTTACAATTTTTGGGATAGTAATGAGATAGGAAGTGTTGATTATTGGTTGGAGTTTGTGGTGATCGGCTCTTGGTTCGTTGGGTTAGTAGGGACACAAACAGCGGGAACCGAGCAACATGAAGACCCATAAAATTTGTATATATATATATAATTATAAAGTAAAGGTACATCATATATGATGTCTTAGTAGGCTTCCGCTCTGAACTCGTTGTGTCAGCCCAGCCTGACTGCCCAGGATGGCAACGCAAATGTCGGCATTGACCTTCCGAGGAGGCGCCGCCATCCGTCGCACAGCAATGGCAACGAGAAGATTTACCTCACTCTGTATCCTTGTGGAGTTTTCGAGTGCTTCCGAGGGAGAACCCCCCACGATGAGAGTGAGGGCGCACTCTCCTCCCCGCCGTCGCCACGGGTGCTTTGGTTTTTGAACGGCGAGAAGAGAGATGAAGAGAGGTGTCTAGTGGGCTTCCTTCCCTTTCGGAGGGAACGAGTCCAGTCTCCTGGACAACCCCGTCTCTCTCTCTGACTCGGCCAAGAAAGAAAGGCTTTGGGATCTTGAGCGGATGCTGTCTGGGGGGCTCTCCCTCTCACTCTTACTCCTTCCTCTTTCTCTCTCTCTCTCTCTCTCTCTCTCTCTATCTGCCTCTCTGCGCAAACCAGCGGCAGGGACTCGGCACGACACAGGGAGCTGACATTGAATTCAGGATCTACGAATGAAGCTGATGGTACGTACACTAAGGGAAACAGACCGTCCTGCGTCTCCAAACATCCGCACCTCTTTCTTATAAAGTCCACACTATCATGGTGTGTACATGATATGAAAAGCTGTTTCCCTTACTCTTGCCTCTGTCCCCTATACTGGGGTGTGCTAAAATTTTTACACCATTAGCTCTGCCTTGGCGCCAGGAAGCAGAAAGGCAACATCACAAACACTTCAGTCATCCCGATCCAACGAGCTGCTGCTACAGTTCTGTTGCAGGGGTAAGAGGAGGGAGATGCGACCCCCGCCCCTGCGCTCAAGGCGCCCTCCACATTGTATGGGAGGCAAAAAGTCTACACACTCACTCACTCACTCACTCACTAACTCACTCTCTCTCTCTCTCTCTCTCGCTCGCTCGCTCTCTCTCTCTCTCTCTCTCTCTCGCTCTCTCTCTCTCTCTCTCTCTCTCTCTCTCTCTCTCTCTCTCCCTCTCTCTCTCATTGTGACGCCGTGTCACCAAATTGTCGCGACTTGCACGTTGCGGTTGACAGCCGACACGGATATTCTGCTGTGTGACTTGCAATATGAAGTGCCAGCTTTCGCAGTGTTGACCTGTTGGGCTGCCCAGTGCAACGCCGTAAATCCACGAGCATCCCGAGCGTTGACCTCAAGAACATGAACGCTGCTCCGACAAGTGCTGCAAGCACATGAATGCTGCTGCAAGAGATTTGGTTTCACCACGAGGGGCATCGCGAAGAGATGGAATCATCGACCGTACTTTATCTGAGCATCAGCTGCAAGTGCCGGCCTGTACAGTAGCGAATGACTCAAGCGGCAACTGCTTGGCAGTTGACCCAAATCCTTCAAGGCGCAGATCTTTCCACCGAGGGCCGAGGGCTGGGCGGCACTGAAACATGTTGATCCCAACAGAGTTTCCACAGTTGTGACGAAGCCGCCTGCGGCTGCGCACGGAGCGAGTGAAGGCAACAGGAAGCAGATGACAGCTTGTAAGCGCTCATAGCGGCATTTTTCATCGAGCCTTTGGCGGCCATGTGAAGTGCTGTGGCACCCATGCGATTGACCTGCATACACGTACTAAAGTGCTATTGCCTGTGTTGCATCAGCCGCGGGCATCTTGCCTGTGCGTCTAAAAACCATGCACATGAAACACTGGGAAGGCTTTCTTGTCTGAGGCGCTGTGTTTCTCGTTGTCATGTCGCATCGCGCAGGTGCAAATTCAGTGTGCGCAAGCCAAGCTGTGCTCCCCTGATTCGCAACGACGTATTTCTAACTATCTGCACATGCTAACTTCCTAGGTCCTGGCCACATACGAAGCTTTCCCAATGGTCGCATGGGCCGCGTGTCGGATACTATAGCTGTCGAGGACCATGCAGCAAATGGCACCATCAATACATGCCCAACATGGTAAACATGCTGAAAGGATGCAGAAAAAGTCGGACGACATCCCCTCCCCCACCACCCCCTCCGAAAAAGCATAATTTCAGAAATTCCCAAAGGATCGCAGTAAATCCGAAGACCTTTAAACACGAAACCCTCGCAAATACCGAGTCGAAAAGGCCAGAAGATGCCAGAAGTGAAGGATAACACAGGGGCAAATCCACGCCACGGTCCAACTACGTACATGAGTCGCATTTGTCTCACATCAGTCGGAAGAACTGTGAAGAAACAACATCACTCGAGTGTCGATGCTGGCGCAGAAATTACACATCAGTGGCGAGAAGACAGATCAGTGTATGCTAAACCCCAGTAAGACAAGGACCTTTAGCTCAATGCTAAAAATATCGCAGCCAACCATTCGCCATGTAGATGCTCAACTCCACATGGAACAAAACATCGTCCACATGACTTATTGAAGTGCGGTTCCCGAGTGTGGACGCTCATCGATGCGATTTTCAACCAAGGGACGCGAGATAAAGCTACCACTAGTAATTTGCTAAAGCGAAGGCCCGCTCTGTCGTGCAAAAGACATCAAGTTTCGTGCAAAAAACTTTGCACATCTTTGCACGATGATTCCTTGAAGACATACACATAAGCGAAAACTTCTTCGCGAAAACCTTGCATCATCCAAAGGGCACAGAGCACCGAAGCAACTACACCGAAGAAGCCGCACGATCATGACACTCTCTCAATCCAATCGGCTCGGAAAGCGACGATGCTTGATTTCGCGGAGTTCCCGCACACTATCAGTGTGATGCAAAGGCTTCGATCTAGGGGCTACGTGATGGGGCAGCATGCGGCCTTGTTGGCAGCCGAGGGCCCATGGATGAGCAGTAGCTGGCAAATCTCCACTCGCCCAGTTGCTGCAGCCATGTGCAGCGCCTACAGCTGTCATAATCATTTGCTTCCATCGAGTGTCGAAGCAGAGCCCGTCAGCAATCCCACTGTTCCAGTCATGAGCTGGCAGAACACCGAACAAGCCCCGACACAAATTCACAGATGTCGTCGAGGCTGCTGTATTCATGTCATAGAGCTCGGCAGCTTCACGCGCCCAGTGCCCGTTTGGTCGAGGTACCTCGCAACTGGCAGTAGATCCATCACTCCCGCGATGACAAGCTCAACTTTGCAAGACAGTGAACCTCCCATCAGACCATGGCATTGTTACCAGCCGTTAACCACGGCACTGGGCAGCAGTTTACAACAGGTGACTAAGCCACTTGCATCGAAACTGCCAGAAGCCGCAATGATGTCCTGCAGATGAAAAAACTTGCGAGCACCCGCGTGCAGACTGCCCGCGACGAGATCTCTCCTCTGAGACCAAAGGGGAGCGGAGCAAGGCTTGCATGCAGCCCAAGTGGCCTGCAGCAGCGAACTTAGAACACGCGCTGTGACGAACGGCCCAACAAAAACGATGCATCGGACCCTCACCAATCTCCATCGGACTGATGTCTTCTGGATCTTCTCGGACACCGAACTTTACCACCACGTGAGGAAGAGGATGTATGCTTGTGTCCGAGTGAATCAAGCGCGACCTCGAAAAGCAGCGCCGTGGATTGCGGTAAAGCCGTCCTCAGAAACTCACAGTCTGAGGCTACACAGCCTGCGCAGCCCAGATGCCAACTATCGGCACCACTGCATCAGCAGGACTAGCCAAGTGTGTGCACTCCCGACTGCCGCGCTTGCAATTCACTTGCTGGTTGAGACTCAAGATGGCTGTGAAATTAATTAATGCAAACCTTTTCGGGTTGGCCCCCGTGCCTGGGATCACCGTGGGATTTCATGGCTTTGCAGGACTATTGGTGGCTCGGGTGGTCGCAGGGTGGACATCAGGGTGTCTCTTGGGTGTCGTACGGATTTGTTTAAAGCTGTTTCTATCTGTTTCTGTACCAGTGCTCTGAGATGATTATACGTCTTGCTTCCGCTTAGTATATTTCGCTGAAAAGGGGTGATGCATGCACATATATTGGAGTCTGTGCAAAAAACTCCGAAATTTCGAAATCAGCTGGCTCAGGATGCAAGGGTATTCTGAGGTGTTGCAGAGCTCCGGTGATTCCGCCTGCACTCTGCAGGGCAACGTGCCTCATGCCCCTGAAGGATCTTCAGTGACTTTGACATCAGTGCTTTGATAACTTACATGACCTATGACAAAGTTCTCATATTTGTGCATGAGTGTCTTGATAGGGCTTACACGCGTCTTTACACAATTCAAGTCAGTCATTAGTCTTTGTAAGCGATTCCGACATTCCAAACATCTAACGGTATGCTGGGTACAAAAGCCTGGCCCGGCGCAACCGGGCACAAATCGTACCCGGCACGGCTCTTGTACCCAAGATTCCCCGGAAGCGGCTCAGCAATGTTGGATCTTGTACTGGGCTGTATCGACTAGAGGGGGCGACGGCCGAAAGGGACGGTAGGGTTCTTGCAATCTTGGGACAGGTTTCCCCAGCCACAAACACGGATCGGTGTCCACGGTATATACATACATACATAGCATACATCCGTACATATATACATACATACATACACACATACATACATACATACATACATATATACACATATTCGTATGTATGTGTGCGTGTATGTAAATGGACGTCATATTCATACCCATGCGCCATCTGCAAAATGCAATATGCGCCTGCGTATGTATGTATACATGCATGCATGCGTGCAAGCATGTGTATGTGTATCTGTATGTGTATGTGCATGTATGTATGTCTGTATGTAGGTATATGTATATGTATATGTACAGAATATGTATATGTATGTGTATATGTATATGTCTATGTATATGTCTATGTATATGTGTGTAGATAGATGTATGTAGGTATTCATACATAAGTACATACGTGCGTACGGGCACGTATTACTGATAGCCGGAAAATGTTAGGGGCAAACAGTTACAACTTTAACCAAATTAGAAATGACACGGGGGATCAGGGGGCGCAGCACCTGCCGGTTGGAAACCGGCTCTTGTTGCTGTCCTCAGATTTCATCGTCTGCCGGGTTCTACGGAATTGTGGTCTTAATCCTCTGTCACCCGACATGGCATGACGTGGCTACAGGAGGCCCAGGCTGCTGCGGATGCGGTAGGTCGGAATACTCAAGGATGCAGCACGGGCCAAGCTACATGATTGCTACATGATTCATCGAGCCAAAACCACGACTACAGTACAGCCAAGTAAAAAAAACTGTATTGGCACTGCCCTGCTGCATGAGCTCTGGACACATGTGTAGGGTTCGAACTCAGTCCTAGAACCACAGGGTTTTAACCAAGCCGGAAAGCCGCGAAGCCAAGACCCGCAAAAGCACCAAGCCGGGGCGGAGGCCAAGATTTGGTTTGGGATTTGCTCCTCCAGTTTGGTTCAAGCTTGCTTGTTGCTGCACGTGCCGTGAATTATACTCTCGCGCTCTGTCTGCTTGTTTGAGTCCACGTGGATTCCAATTCTTTTCGGCCCTTGGCTGCTGGTATAGTGAATACTGCGAAAATTGCCGTGCTTCAATGCTTCCGGCAAACGGGAACTTCTGCAAACACACCTCACCATAAATTGTACAATCGGGACATAATATCACGGACTGCCAAGGCTGCAATGCACCGCGCACCTGTGTAGAAGAAGCCTGGGGTATGCTGCGCTTGACGATGCTTGTACTTGTGACATGTGCTTCTTCTCTTGCATATCCTTCCGGCACTTGTGTACTGGAAAACGCTGCAAGTGCTGTGAGTTGCGCTTCTGCGACATCTACCGACATCTACAAGCAACTGTGAAACCAAAAGCTGCACACGCTGAAACAGGTGTTCGTGCTGCTGTGCTTTCGATTCATGGAAGCGCTATAGGCATGGCAGCATGTGCTTGTTCGCTTCCAAGAATCTCACATGCTGCCTCCATTGGAAACGTTGCAGCTGGAATGTTTCCGAACATAACGAATCATCTAACTCACCCCAGGCTTCTGCACTTATGTCGCCGAAGGCGATTCGACCTGCAAGACCCCTGCGGTTTCGAAGATGCGAAAGGCAGGTACACCATCATGCTGCGAAGAGAACAGAACTTTCTGAAAATGCCTCTTGGCTAACAAAATCGAAATTAAATGGAAGCACGAGCCTCGGGCTGAGTCGGGCTGAGCATGGTTTTTGCGAAGTGACACCCGATTCAATAATTTTAAGAACCCCACAATGGGGGTGTTAGACAGTGTCAGACGCAAGCTCGGTAATGGGTTAACAAGCCATGTGAGAAATAAACTCCTGGGAGTACTGAGTACTGGATTCGGCGCAGTACAGAAAGCTCGGCCTCGCGACAGTCAAGCTTTCGATTTCTTATTTCACTTGGAGCTTTTCTTAACTCACTAAATCCCCAACTCGTGCGTGTCCAGCCGGGTTCAAAACAAAGCTTCAAAAAGCGATCCTCGCTGCATAGCTTTTGGACAATAATTCAGCCTAGTGGTGTCGCACCACATCTCCTCCAATTAGGCATCACCTGTGTTCTCCGAGGGGCTTTGTCCACGGTGCCCATGAAATCTGCGAAGTCAGCGCGATTCACCAAAGCCTGCCGGATGCGAGCATCACATGTGGGGCAACTCCACGAGATTTGTCTTGTAGCCTGCAACCATGTAAAGAGCGCTCGACATTGCTCGACATCCATGGCTTTGACTGCCAGCTGTGTTCCTGTCCTGTGCGACCTGTGTTTAACCCCCCCTCAAGTTTCGACATCGGATCAGTGGATTACAAGTACTAGTAGCTAAATGTAGGCGCCTGCACCACAGCTTCAAGGCCGCTGGCTGCCGCCAGATGCAGAGCCTTCAGACTTGCGAAAGTATTTCTGCAGGCTTTCCAGCGTAGAATCGTAGAGATAGGCCTCTGGCCGTGCTGCCATCTCTCTCCCGAACCTTTGGAACAGAGAGGTCAAAGTCACCGCAGGCCAGCAAGGCCTGGCAAAAAGCCAAAAGCAGGCCAAAAGCGTGCGGCGAAGCGTGCAGTGCGTGCAGCATCCCAGAAGCGAGCCCCGGCGGCCAGGGCCGCATTCCCCAGCTCTCGGCTGCACGCAAAGTGCAGCGCCGTGCCTTCCTTAGGCTCATAACCAGAAACCAGACCTGCTTCACTGCGAGATCGTGACTACTCACTACTCGAATCCTCAAGGCCTATGGTACAGCCTGTGTGGCAAGAGCTTCTCCAATGAACACTGTAGCCTGTGACATGCAGTGCTGAGTAGGCAATCCATGTGGTTCACTGCTGCTACACTGTACTGTGCCAACAGTACCACAAACCAGTTTTGCTGAAAGGTGCGGTGGTATCCACCGCGTTCAGCTCGAAGCGCGGCAGTGGCGACACGACACAACTAAGTCCTGACAACAGGGTTGGACTCGGAGTCGGATAGTCAGATCTCCGAAGTGCCAAACTCAGCGAGCTACTCGGTCCAGGTCGCACTAGTGACTGGCACCCTTCTGTGTGCTGATCACGTACTTGGGCTCTTCACGTTCATGGTTATTGCTCTCAGAACTCAGCTCCATCAGACTCTGCCTCTGTCAAGAGCTCTGGTGAGATACCACGCAACATTGCCTCGGGTTCAGACTTGAGCAGGAAGCAAAGCTTTCCCTCAAATGCCTTCCTGCAGTGACAGTGATGAGCGCACATCTGCCGCTGCCTCCGGGTCCGTCCTCCGTCAACTCGGTCTCGAACATCTGCTCAGCAGCCTGACCAGTTGCACGGTAGGGAGAGGGAGGCGAGGGAGGGCCCCGGATGTCCGAGACAGTCTCAGTGTGGCCCAGTAACCTGGTGAAGTGCCGATGCACCCTGCTTCCACCGATGTGCAGACGCAAGCTATGCATCGTTCGACAAGATTTCTTTCTCTGCGTAGCAGGAGGAAAAGAGCCAACTCGGTGCTCTCACCACCTGCCCCCTTGCCATCGTGAGAGTGGAGCTGTCAAAGTGTTCAGGCTTGGAGGCTGCCTCCCTGCCCCAGACCAGATCAAACCGACTGCCCTTGCTCAAGACATCCCGAGCAGTAGCTTGACAAAGCCATGTGTCAATGTTGGTTCAATTTGTAAAGGAAGTTGATCAAAGGTATGAGGAAATTGCGGGGGTCGGATGGTGCTAGAGAGGCCAGAGTAAGCCGCACCGTATCAGACGCCAAAAACTTGTACTTCCCTTCCAGAAGCTCCGTCCACAGGCGCCCACCCAGGATCCTGCATCCTGCAACCGACGTTGTCGCGGTACTCCGTCATCTTTGGAGACGATGGATTGCCCCAATTCCACTGAGCATGCCAGCTGACATTCACTGTCTCTGCTGCTCGGTGCATGACACAATGTGGCGGTGCCGTCGTCTGGCTGTGATGCAATTTTTTTTCATTCGTAGCGTTCGTGTCTCGTCAGACGCTCGCCTAGCATGATGAATTCAACTCGCAGAAAAAGGGTGAAACGGGCTCGCATGCTGGAAAACCACTCCCTCTGTACTGAAGATGCAGCCGATGGCCCGCAGCCACGTGGCAGCTGGTCCTAGCCCCTCTTCAAGACCCCTGCAGCAGATCCGCCCCGAGGCCCTTGGGCCGCCCTCAAGGCATCGGGCCAGACAGAGACAGGTTTGTTCAAGCCATGTCGCGTAGGCAGTGGCTTGCCGGAGAGGCATGCTTCGCGGATTATCAGGAGGGAGAATCCACTTGGGAGGTGGTTCAACAGCAAGAAAGGGGAGTTCGCCCTCGACCATCAAGGTAAATGAGGGGAGCTCAGGCCAATGTGGCTCGACATCAGCCGGACAGCTGGTCCGCGGGGGCGTAACACGCTTATCCTCCCCTATCAGATCAGGATCGAGGAGAAGCTGGAGGTTTTCAGCAGCCTCCGCGGCCTTAGCATCTCCGTCATGGCGCTCCGCCCAGCGTTGCACCGTCGCACGGATGGTGGCCACAATGTGTTCAACCACGCGGGCCCACAGCTCTTCCTCATCGCAGGTGGCTTCCTCAAGGGCCTGCAGCAAGGTCATGGAAATGCCCGGCTCAAAGTCAAGGAGTGGGGCCCCGGTGGCGGAGCCGCTAACCCGCACCGGGGGAGCCTGCGGGTGTTGCCCTGGGGGACAAGGACCGTGAGCCTGGAAGGCACCCCATCGGCCGAGGCAGGCACTGCTGTAGACAAGATGACGACGCAGCCTTCCCACAGATGCGTACAATTTGCCACATCCCCGACACAAGGGAGGCTCGCCCTTCTCGCCGAGCAAATGCGCATGAGTGCGGTAGCCGTGCACCCGTTGGGCATGACAGGACCACGCCACTGTGCTGCTAAAGAGCCGTCGGCATGGTATGCAAGCTTCGTCCCAGCACGTTGTTTGATCCTGGGCGGCGGGCCTGCTAGGCAGACGTAGGCCGATGGCCTGATACAGACCGTCCATGCAATGCCGCTACCACTTGATTGCGCCGTCCTTCCAAAGCCTGGGCACGCAAGCACAAGCCTTTGAATTTCGCGGCTTTTTCTTGGCAGCAAAGAACCCATTGGTCCCAGTAGCCATCTGGATCCGGCAGGTCACTAGTGGCATGCACCCAACGATACAGCCAACGGGTCGAGGATTGCAAGGCTGCCACGTACGGCCGATCTTGCCGCAGCATCGCCCACAGCGCCGGTGGCCCCGTGCGCGTCAGCTGCCCCAAATACTGTAGGCGCTGAGCATGCAAGGTCACTGCTGGGCCTGGCAACTGAGTGAGGGCCAGAACCGTAGCTGCACTGTAATGCTGGTCGCCCCCGCGTGGAATGCAAAGGACTTGACGATAAAAGGTCCACAATGATCCTGCAAAGAGGGCGTATTCACCCGCGGACAGAGGTGGCCACGAGCCAGCTCCGAAAAGCAGCTTCGGTAGGACAGACGACCGCAGTATGTAGATCTTGCGCTCAAGCGGAACGCCCGGCGCCTTGAAGACCTTCCGACGGCCCTCCTGGAAAGCGCCCCTGGCCTGACTGTTGCGGTATGTGAGTTCTGCTTTCATGCCCCCCCCAATTGCGTGCTGCACTCCCAAATGCCTATATGTAGGCACAAGCGGGAGCGATAGCGGCGCGGCATGCTCTCGGAGTGCAGCGATTACACCTTTCCGCCCCCGATGGGAAAAGAGAGCTCGCTTGACCTTCCTCGTACCCGTACCAGCCGGCTGTGCCATAGCGGCCGTTTTGCTAGCCCCCATTGAAAGCCGGAATCCATGCTCTGCTAGAGCATCGCCTAGAGCACCGACAGTGGTCGCAAGGCCAGCTGGGAGTTGGGTAGCTGTGGTACATTGGCGCAAGGAAGCGAGGTCATCTGCCCAGACTAGATCGTCAACCTGGAGGACACCAGCAGAGGCGTCACAAGGCGAAAGGGAGAGAGATCCGTCCCACGGCACGGCTGGCACGTGGCACGTAGGGTGAGCGGAATGCATAAGAGCATCACGTTTTTGCAAGACTCGCTGCACGACAAAGGCGAAAAGCAAGTCCGCCCAGGATGAGCCTGGGCGGGAACCACGGGAGGTCACAACTGGTGTATCATCCTGCTGGAGGATGAACCATGTGCCTTCTGTGAGGCGTGCCGACAAGGACTCAAGCCATGGCGAACATCCGGCCCTGTGCAGGGCGGATGCCTCCGAAGCGTGGGCTTTCAGCAGGGCCAAGTCTTCAGCTGGGAGGTCGATGCCAGCAATGCTGAGACCCTCTGCAGAAGCAGTCTGGTGTGCCGACTTGGCAACAAGCTGTCTCGCAACAGAGTAGAAGGCCGATGAAATGTCAGCGTACAAAACAAAGCACGGCGTGCGGGTCGATCGCGACCACCGAAGGAAGCTGCGCACAAGGTGTGCACCGTAGACGACACTCTTGCCTGGCTTGCCTCCAAGTTGTAGCTCCGGGGCGGCTTCCACATACAAATCGCGCAGAGCCGGCCTCAGTGCCTGATGCATACTCTTTGCTATCGACGACAGCAGAAGAATTTGTCGGTATGACGCCGGGTCTTGTTGGGATCCTTTTCCCTTCCAGAACTTTACCGCAAGTCCACCCTTCAGGCCTATTCCTTCGACTCCCCGAAGCGCTAATTTAAGCAGGAGGGGGAACAGGGTGTGGCCTAACTGTTGGGCATGACTCTTAAGGAGTTCTCCTGGCAGCATGTCCGGGCCGGGAGCTTTCCCCATTCTTGTAGCTGCCATCATACGCTGCAGATCGGTCGGTCTCGGTAGCTGGTGGACATCATCGGGGGGTGTCCAAGCATCCTTGGCATTAACTATGGCAAGGAGATCGTGAGGTAGCCTGTCCACAGGGCTCTCTCTGCCGCCTTCCATGGCACTAAAATGATCCCTCCAGCATTGCTTGGCGGCGCTTGCCTCTCCACAAATATCGCCTTCGCGGTTGCGAACCTGTGGGAGGGGCTCCGGTGCGTATGGCTTTTTGCGCCGATGATGCAAGAGGCGGTGCAGCGCCTGGTAGACCTCGCTTGTGGGGCTGTACGCAACCTGGTGTGCCAACTGGCTAACGTACTTATCCCTATCATCTCTACAAGCGCGCCGTAGTTGCTTGCACAGCCTGTTAAGCTGGTACTGGTGCACCAGCTCATGCAAATCCGCACGGAGCATCCACGGGCACGTGGCCATATCAAGACCAGTGTCAGGTGGTAGCCTGCTCACTACAGTGCGCCACGCAATGAGGTGAGCTGCCATTACCCGCAAACGGCGTTGCGCGCGAAGCCGGTGCAAGGAACGGCGCCAGCGTGTAGTCAGGCGTTGGAGTGTCCACGTGTCGTCTGTGATGTACACATGGTGCGGCCGTGGAGCAGCCGTGGACTGAATACGGGAAAGGCTGGTCTGGAGGTGCGACACCACAATTGCCGCATGCGCATGTGCGGATACCTGCCAAGGTACCGCAGGCGTGGCTGCAATAACTGCAGCTACCTTGTGTGCATTAGCAGGGTCCCGCAGAGTGCTGGCGCAGATTTTACGCTTGGGGATGTCCTTACTGCGGGTGGGCATGGCCAGCTGCAGTTCCACATGCACACATGTGGCAATGTGGTCGGGACAGGACAAGGCCACATGTATCTCAGGGAGGACATATGCCTTAACATTCCCCCGTCCCCACGAAAGTGGGATGCCGATCATGTCTATCCGGCACTCACTATGTCCTCTTTTTTGAGTGTAAGTGGTGGTGGGCCCTACTTGATGCTCCCATTTTGTGCATGGTAGGAACGTAGCAGTCTCTTTGAGTATGCGATGCCACCACACACCCGGATCGTCTTCCTGTTCAGCCCCGCAGTCCCCAATGTGGTCGGAAGTGCAGCTGCCAACAGCACAGTTGACATCGCCGGCCAAAACTACCTGGGCAGATCGCCGGTGTTGTTAGACCAAGCTGTATGTGTGCTGCCACCAGGCTTGTATGGCATGACGCTCCGTGCTCCGATGCGGTGCATGCAGTGCGACGAGGAGCAAATTGAGGGCAGGAAGCTGACAATGCACGAAGAGACGCCTGGGCTCAGCCAGTAGAACAGTAAGGCCAGCAGTTTCGAAACGGCATTCGTGATTCTGTCCCGTAGCCTCACGAGCGATCGCAAGCTTGGAATGCAGCCAAATCTCAGTGCCGAATGGCCCCGGTCAGCACCGGCGCTGAGACGAATATACTGTCCAATGCGCGTTTGCCCGGCAGGGCTCCGCGTCTCCTGCAGCGCTGCTATATGTACTTGATTCGCGTTGGTGAAGCTGTTCCGCCAGCAGGGCGGCGCGCCCGGGGCGGGCTTGCAATCCTCTGGCTCCGACACCCTGGCCCTCATCTTCCTCAAGACAGGCTCCTAGGGACATAGTGTTGTAGGAGACAATCCGCACGCAGAACTGCCACCTAGTTTGCGCATGATCAGTCGTGGTACCTCCCGTCGAAAGATACGCCGGGAGGAAGGGCTGGACCAACTGACTCAGAGACATGCCCGCATGCCAGTCATCATGTCCAAGGTCAAGTCCTACACCCGGAAGTGAGCAATCCCCGGTGTGTTGACGGATGGCAAGAGCTGCCCACTGCAGAGAAGGCGTACCCTGCGAGAGCCAGTGGCAGAGAGTGAGGACATGCTGTGGGGGTGCGTAGCAGCAGCTACTGCGACAGGCTCCCCACTTTGCCATACTATCAACGGCTTCGTTGAAGATTTCGCCTGCGTGCCCTGGGACATACTCATGCACATCTCGCGAACATCGCAGACACTGGTGGAAGAAGGCTGCATCCGCTAGAGCCTGAGCGGCTCCATCCGGCTGGAAATTGTTGTCGCCACCAGCGACACCAAGGGCGGCCTGACAGTCGCTGCGGAAGAGGACTCGTCTCGATGCGAAATGTAGGGCCCCACACAAATGACCGAAGGCTATGGCACAACATTCGGCCTGATATGCAGAGGCCTCACCTCGGGTTGGCAGAAGCCATGGTGGTAACCTGCCAGCTACTCCGGCTGCTTGGTGGCCGTGAGGGTCCAAGAGCAGAAGGGCCCACCCTGCACGAGGTGGGGCTCCCGCAACAGTGGACGGGTAGAAGGACCCGTCAGTGTAGCACACCAACTCGCCTGGGGCAACCGCATGGCAAAGGCCGGTAAGTGCTTGCTGGACGTCAGGGCCTGCCGGCATGCCACAGGCAGCCCAATCCTCCCAAGGACAAAGGCCTAACTCAAGCGTCAGGAGTTGATGTATCTCCCTCCAACAGAATCCAAGGTCAGTGGGTCCAAAACAGACACGCTGATCGCCGGGCATTGCAGCAAGTAGAGACGGCAGTGGCGAGGCTTCGCGCCTCAAAGCATCAGGCACCCATGGTGTCGAAGCCCGCTCATGCGGCCCAACGTAGGATGTCTGATCTTGTCGCGGAGTGTCAGGCTCCCAGTCTGCCGAAGCATCTGTGGCAAGTGCAGGGACGGGAAGTGGCAGAAGGGGGGCAAGGCTCACAACCCGGCGCGGTTGGTGAGGTGGAGCAGGAGGTGCGCTTGCTGTATGGTGCCATCTTCTCTTATCCCAGTCTTCTTGGAGAGTGTCAAGAAGGGTGGCGGCCAGAAGGAATGCTTCCGAAGTCGGAGACGAGACACTTTCCTGCAGCAGAGTCTGTAGTTCACGGTGGGCCGCAGCTTGTGGTGTTGCCGCCGCGAAACCGTCGGCAGGTTCTGCGAGACCTCCTGGGGCAGCAGAGTCTAACTGAGGTACTTTGACCGTGCTTCTCCTCAGCGGGGTAGGCAGGGGTCGCCCAGCTCCATTACGCATACGTGCAGAGTCTGTGCTGAGCCTAATGTCTGTCACAGGAAGACGGTGGGCTTCCCCCTCTGCAGCAACATCGGCAAGGCAGGGGCCTTTCTGAACAGTGGGGTGCGCGGAAGCGCGACCACTGACAACGGGCTGTGCTTGGTATGCAAGGCAAAGGAGAAACAAGGCAGCGGGAAATTTGCCGGACTGGTGTGCCGGTCGCTGGCTGGCCTTCCGAACCGCCTGTCCATTCATGCTTTGGGCATCAACCGTCTCATGGTGAGAGCGCTCGGAGCGGCGGGGCCGCTTTGGAGACGAGGAATTTGCGAGGTGGCGCCTGTCCGGATGGGAACCGCTGTCAGAGTCTGAGCTGTCTGTGGAATCAGAGCTAGAGTCAGAGCGGGCAGCAGTTGGACCTGCGCTCCTCGGCGCAGGTCGTGGCGGGCATTCGACAAATTCAACAGTAAGCACACTACCTGGTTGCACAAGCAGATCAAAATCGCTACCGTCTGGTAGGGGGGTGCCTCCAATCACGACAGTATAATGACCTTCTGGGCAATGATCCCGACACCTCGAGGCGATGGCCTCGCTGGAAACTTGGCCTCCAACTGCACGCCCCCAGGTGAGCCCGCACGTGATCGGCCTGAGGTCAAGGCAATAGAGCAAATCTGCGGGTGGAGCATCACGATCATCTAGCTCAGGATCTTCGGGACCTGTGTCAACGATCAAAAGAAGTGCGGCATGGCTGCCATAGTCAAAGGCATCTGGGGGATCAAGACGGACTTGCTGCAGCCGATGGGGACGGCCGTCAAGCTGGAGTTGCCGCGGAACCTCTTGTCGCAAGAAGCGCCGACGTTCGGGATCGATGCGAAACCTGTCCTGACCTTCGGCAGTGAGCGCATGCACCCAGAAGCCTGGCAGAAAAGGTGTTGTAAAGCCGTGCTCCCAGCCGGTTCTGTCAAGCAGGCGGTCAGACAAGCTCGTCACCACAAAAGGGTCCCCCGAGATCGGCACAAGAGAAATACAGTCACCTGTGGTGACCTGTATTTCCTGGTCTGCCGACAGTGGCTCAGGTCGATCGGGCACATATACCTCAATTGTGGAGAATGGAGCAAACCCTGCATATGCCAAGAGAGTATCTCGGTTGCATTGTGCGCGTGCAGGAATAGCGTAAACCGAGCCATTCAGGCGCAGGGCATCAATGATGATGAAAGTGTCGGTACACCACGCCGGGAGGGCAAGACAGATGGCATAGCTTCCCGTGACCTGCGGGCGTGCCTAAATTTTGGTAGGGGTTTGGCTTGGGGTAGGGTCTCTTTCTCGCCTGTCGCGGGTTTCGGTACCTCTGCAGGGCCTGAAAGGCAACCTGGACGCTGCATGGCCCTGGTAGGGGAACTAACACCGACTCAGGGTCGTATTCCGGGACTAGAACAAGGAAGGCTGCCGTGAAACCTGCATCTGGTTCCATGGTGATTGCCTCAACCTGTCGGCGCGGAGTCCGGCTCCGCTGCCGTTGGCGGAGTCCCTCCGAGTCGCTATCCTGGCTCTCCTCCTCTGGGTCATGACCGACAACCTCGGTGTCATCTGTGCCGGGTTCGCTCTCTGGTGCTTCATCTGAGGATGCAGCAGGCTGGTCGGGGACAAAAGAGGCGTACGCAACTTGCCCCGGTGTGTGTACAAAGGTTGAACCGTGGCGCGTGACCCTCTCCAAATGTAAGTTCCATCCACCTGGCGTAAAGGTGGAGAGAATGTCCTCAACTTCAGCGCATGGCAGGGAAGGACCCCTAGTGACAACCGCAAACCACCCTTGGAGCTGCGCCCTACAGTCTATGACAGACAGGGTTAGGTCTCTGGTGGCCTCGCAGGTGCAGGGGTCTTCTGGGCGCGCTATCACAAGGACCTCCCTACAAAACCTCCCTTGCAGCGCCACATCCTGCACTGGCGGCTGTGTCGTTTGGAGCAACAGATCGTCAGGCTGCAGGTCAAGGGCGTTCGCCAGAACGGCACCGTCTCGGTAGTCAGCGTCCGAGGCAAAGGCGACACACCGATGTCCTCTCTCACTGACAGCACACAGAAAGGGCCCTTGGATGGCTGTGGGAGGTGCGCATGTGGTATCCCAAGCCTCGGCGGAACGTAACATGTCAGGCAACCAGAAGTACGGTCCTGGCAACGTGTATTGCGGAACGAAAAAGATGCACACCCCGGCAATGATAGCCGCCTCTTCGTCTTCACCTAGTGGAACCGCACTAGTGCCTACATATACGTCTACCCGTGCATTTTCGGGCACGGCTGCCAGGCGTTTCAAAGTTGCTTTGGTAGCTGACGATGGTGCAGAGTCTGTGAAAAGCCTGCCATCGCACTCTGTGAGGTCGTAGCATGCTACACACTCGCTGCCCGGCCAGCCAGGCAAGGAGATCAGCAGTCCAAAGGCATCAGAAGGTTGCGGCTCCACTGCCCTGAGCAGTGGGAAGACACGGCTCATCACCGGGTCGCGTTGCAAGGACACTTGTTCAAGCAGATCTTGCATGGTCGCTGGTGGTGTGAGTCTGACTTGAACTATTTCCGTAGCGTACCCCAAGGTCAGCACACCAACATTGAAGCCTGCCCCTTCAAGCTCGGCCTCTTCCGAATCAGACCCAGTATACACTTCGGCAGTAGTGAAGGGGTCGTCAGCCGGCACAGCGGGCCAAGGCCGGCCGGTCGCTAGCTGCTGGTCACGGAGAATTTCAAGGATGGCTCTCTCCTCTGCAGTACGGGAGGGCGGCTCTTGGTCGAGTTTGGCGGTAAGGAAGGGAACCATCGGAGTGGATCCGTCTTGGACACACGCATGTGGGCGGTGATCTTGCCCTGGCAGGTGGTCGGGCACAAGCTGAAGCAGTCCATGCACAGTTGCGTGAAGCCGGCTGGGCTCGGAGCTAGCGTACCACAAGCATCGGAAGCTTGGGCTGGTCTGGCCAGCTGACAGTCTGCACCGGGCTAAGGCAGGCTTACGGCTTCGTTGCAGCGGTCTTCTGCACAGTGCACCCGGAAACATCCCAGTGCAGACGACAAAACTCGCCAAGCAGGTAAGGTGGTGGCCGCAGTCCGTCTGTGGAAGTCTCCTACGGTACCCGCCTACCACCTTAGGACCCCTAAAGAGAAGCCTAAGCAAAAGGCACAACAGAACCCCGAGGGCAGTATGGTGCACAGCCTGCGCCTGTTGCTCCAAAAGCCTGCAAGCAGTTGCCGTGTGCGCCTCCTCAGTAGCGCAAAGGATTGCAGCATATTGCCCGAAAAGGAGCGCAGTGCCACAAAGCAGGTAGGCACCGAAAGCCATCCAACAGGGTGCAAAGCATGTGAGCGCGTCTGGCCCGACAAGAGATTTGGCACGCAGGAGCTTGGTGCCCAAAACTGAAGCTGATGGCGGCCATCGGGTTCCTGCGGTGCATGCACTTAACCCAGACATGACACATAGGAAGACATAACCCGCGCCGCCCAGAAGACGCAAGTAGAAGCAGGTCGCATGCCCTGTATGTGTGCGCAGCGGCACGGAGTCGTGAACCGTCGTAGGAGAGTACCCCAGCGCCACCGATGTACTTCTTAGGCCCCTACAAGAGTTCGAACCCCGGGGCTGACGCTGTGCGCATGGACAGCGGTCGCTGCAAGGAGGGTGCAGGTGTGGAGGATCGCGGCTGCGCTGCAGCATCAAAAAGTGCCGTGGGCAGCATGGCGGGGCCAGTGGCAGGAAAACACCAGTCCAGTGCTTCCGACCCCCGGCAGAGGAGACGAGGTGCAACTGAACACCCAGCACACAAACCCAATGTGTGGGAGCCCAGTTGCCCCAGCAAGGAGGTGGCACGGAAAAGAGAACAGGGGCCGAAGCTGCTGAGGAGTCGCAGACGAGCCTATACAGAGTCTTACAGTGAGACATAGGCTGCCGCAAAAAGGGGCCGCCCTGGGCCAAGATAACATAGCCTTGTCCACAGGGAGCTTGCCGCACCAGAGTCCGCCCCAAGGACTCTGATGCGCGTCGTCCCTCTAGACGGCTCGTGTCACCCTGCCCGAGCAGCACCCTCCATGCTTTAGCCTCAGCACTCAGGCATCTCAATGCTACTCCAGTTTGCCAAGGCCTGGAGAGGCCGAGTCCAACTCTTCTGAATCGTCGTCGTTGAGGTCGATCGTAGCATCTCCCGGCGGTGCCTCCGTAGGCTTCTCCTCGCCACTGCGGGCCCCCTCTGCATCTCCAGAGCCTTCTCCGCGTACCAGGCCGAAAGGAGCCAGGGCGGCTCTCGCTGCTTTCCGCTTCACTGCCAGCCTCTCTGCCAAGGGCGTAGGACTGCCGTCGCAAACGCCCACGGATCCGCCAGCAAGCGGTAAATCCTTGGCCTGATTTCCCTGTGCCCCAGTCTCTGTGCAAAGGACGTCCCCAGGTGACGGTTTGGGTGAGGGCATCCCGAAATGGGCCAAACTGGGCGAGCTCATGTATGGATCCTTGGTGCGCTTGGGAGAAGGCGTACTCGTCACATCGGCTGGCAGACGCGAGGGGGCAGCAGATCTTGGTGAAGCCGGTGGGGTAGCCGCAAGTTGGTCGGCCGTTCTGGGTGGAGGAGTCGTCGGAGCCGCTCCGGTTGCTGCATCTAGGCCCGGCATCGGGATGCCAGCCTGCCTGAGCGCATCGACGAGGGCAGCAATGTTGACACCTCCAGAAGAAGCCTGAGCCCCCTCCATCCCTGTCACAATTTCGCTCCACTCTTCGAGGTCCTCTGTGACCTCCATGGCTGCCGATTCCATCGGCTTCCCTCCTGTCAGGAAGGCCTGTTGCAGCTGGGCATAGGCCTGTGCCTGCTGTTCCTTGGCCTCCTGCACCGCGGTAGTGAGCCGACTCTGCTCCTGCAGAAATCTGGCTTTCTCTTTTCGCAAGGTGTCCTTCATCTCTTGCACATATGCATCCCATTGCAACTTTCCGTCGTCCAGCTCCTTCTGTAGGCGCCCAACTTTGTTCTCGTGCTTCCTGGCCGAGTTGACCGCCGCTTGGATGACTTTGACCAGAGAAGGGGCCGTACCCGCCATGGTCGCGGAGCCCGGAGTTCTCCGCTCTGCCACTGGCACAATGGCAGCTTCCGGCATGGCTGGAGCTGAAGGTCGATTGCCGTCGCGTTTCCAAGGTGGGCGTGATGTTGCCTTGGGCGACACTGCAGCACCACCCCGCCATAGCCGCCATCCAGACTGAGACCATTCGTGGTCGTCCCAGTCTTTGTCGTCGCTGTTGGGCTTCCATTGGCCCCCACGTTTGCCCATGCGGCCGTGATGCTTGTGGAGCTTGCACAAGTCTCGGCGTGCCGGGCGAAATCCCTTGGCAGCCGCCTGCCGAAGGCGCCGGACAGCCTTACTGCGCTGTCCTCGCAGATGGCGATGCCAACAAGGGCTCGCCGGGTGCGCAATGGCAGCAAGGAGCTAAAGCGAAGACGCGCCTCTGCGCTGGGGCTGTCAGCTATCCCGCTCTTGGGTATTCTGAGCCCTGCTGTGATGCAAACTCCAAAAGCTAAATCGCGGAGAGCATCGAGACTGCGGAAGGCTAAGGTGCTAAGCTTTATCCTTGCTGCAGCTTTAGCCGTGAGCAAACTTCTTCGCTGACTCGAGCCCATGTTGCCCCAAAAGATCAAGTTCTAGGTTTCCAGAAACTTGCGGAGCCTGGCGAAGGCGACGGCAAACATCTGCCAAGAGCGCCGTGCCCAATAACCGAGGCTTGACCTGCCCACGCAAAGAGACTAAAACTTGGCCGAAACATGCCGAAGTAAGTCTAAGCAAGCAGACGGCAGCATTACAAGCTAGTCAAGCGTCGACGCAACGAAAGGCACCGAGACGACGCCTTCCCTGAGTCTTGCCCTTGCTAAGGAAAGCGCCGAGGTTTGACACGGCAGCTGAATTGAGGGTAGGCCAGGGTCCATGCTAATGTTATCGCCTACGCCCAATCACTTGACGACATAACTTTCCTGTATCTCCTGGACCGCTCCTTCGCGCTGCCTTTGATTCGCAGTTCATCCCTGAGTCTCTGCGTTACGTCGTGTTATTGCAGCCATTTATACGTGCCTCTGGCTCTGCGGCTGCTTCTGCTGGCCTAGGCAGAAGCTTCAGTGCCAGACCCTGTTACAGTAGCATCTGGAGTCTGGAAACGGAAACCCCTCTTTACTGCTGCACGGCTACTCGGCGGGTGCTTGCACTTCTGGACCAGCCGCTTCTAACTCCTCCAGGACTGGACCAATACCAGCCTCTGGGCCTGCTGCCGCAGGACCTGCACTGAGCTTTTCGAGCACACCATCGCCACGAATTATACTGCTAATACCGCCGATACTATATTCATACCACGTGCTCCATAGCATTACACACCCGCCTGGACTCGTCTCACGCGCCATGCGTGCCAGTGCCGCACTGACTTCTCGCATGTCGTCCATCAGCTTCTGCCGGTCTTCTGCATCCAAGCTGGCTCCCAAGGCAACGCCATCTGCTTGACCGTGCTCCATGGTGCGAAGATCTGCCTACAACTGCAACTTTCAGTGCGATTGGAGTCTGCCGTCGCGTAAAGACACACACCAAATGCAGAGATGATCAGGTCATATTGCACTATGTTGTACTCACTGGCTTGACTGCTTGCTGCATTGTAGCAGCTTGAGATCCGCACGTCTCGTGCATGCTGAAGCATAATTCTGAAGAAATTGTTGATTGTGTCGTATGTCGCAACAGAATGATTCACGAGTAAGACCTACAGCCGGCAGGCTGCGCATGGCTGTGCCGGATTCGTGCACCTTTCGGCTGAAGCTCACTGAAACCATGTCAAGACCGTCTGCACGGCACACTGTGGTCTTGCTCAAACTTGGGCTAGTTTGCAAAACAAAACATTCAACGCCTTCGATGACTCGGTGCGTGCAACCAAGACGAGTCCCGTCGCCTTCGGAAAACTGCTGTCCCGATAGCGCCCAGAGCGGAGCGCCTCCAATGTCGATGCCCGTCACGAGGCAAATTGCACGAGTCGAGCGGGCCTTGTACGCTCCCTCTACAGCATAATGTCCAGGCCCAGGTGCTTCTGCAAAGCAGACTCCTCAGAAGGACAAGACTGAATCTGGCCCCGGAAAACCAGCAAGAGCCATGGCCTTGCTTTCTCGAGCTTGGCAGCGTCCACCTTAGACGACACTGCAGGCACGTGCATGCTATTGGCTACATCTGGCTACTGGTTGCCAGGTTTGAAATCCTCGTCTACCTGCACTTTCCACTCCGAGGCTTCGCAGTTTCGTGACTGGGCGCAATGCTGCGGACCACGTGCGCGAGATGCAAAAGCTGCGAGTGGCCCTGGCAAGCAAGGCCAATGAATCATGCCCAGCATTCCGCAGTTGTGAGATGCAGGTCAACACCGCAAGCTCAAGAACCCGCAAGAAAGCCTTAACTTCATCCGCTAAGATGCTAAAGTCAAACTTTGCCTTCGCCGGCTCCTTTTTGCATGGCCCTGAAGGCAGGGATGCTCAGGCCGAGTGTGTTGTGAAGCTTCAGTAACTTTACGTAACTACTAGTATCTAGAATCTCAAACTGATGCGCCATCGATCGGAAATCTAGTCGAAGGTCCGGCAGGGTTCATGTACTCCCAATATCTCGGAGAAGCACGAAGCATGTGGCGCACCGGAATATACAAATACCGCTAACTGCATCCCGACTTTTGCATTTCAGAGCGACCACGCGAATGTTGGATGCTTGCTTCGGAAGCTGATGCTGCGAAAGAATGTGCAGAAGATGACGGCATACAGCCTTCATGTCAACGGTTTGAGTGTCCGGAAAGATCCCAGAGGACCAGATTCTCTCATCTACGAGTGGTCATTTGGAGGTTGCTTTGGCGTCTGGGCTTGATCACTTGAAGATGTGCCTCCGCTGCTGGAAGCTGATGCTCCAAAAGACTTTGTCGACTATTTGGGCAGGAGGGCCCTCAAAAATTGCATCTCAGAACGGCCTGACTGCTGCTGCAAGCGGGCAAGGAACATGGGTTACCATGCATCTCATCTCCGTTGACGGCGTGACTCTGTGTCTTAGGCGGGCACCTTAGTATGTGGCACCAGGTCGTAAATGCCGGGGGGGGGGGGGGGCGACAGGTCGCCGTCTTGGCACGTTTCGGCTCGATTTGGAAGCACCGTCCATATCCTTTCTGCCATTCTCTTGGACCGGGCGGCGGTGCCTCGGCACTTGCCATCAAGAGCTACGCCAGCTGCGATCTAGTCAACATACCTACCAGTACCAAGTTGAAACTATCCAAGCTCGGCTTAGCAAACGGTGAAACTACCAAAGTCTAGACCCGGATAGGACAGCAGTTCAGTCCTTGAACCCCCCGTATCGTGCTCAATTCCTGCACTTCTCAAGCCAAGAGCTGCTTGATGCTGGCAAAACGTGACTCATGCAGACGTGCCTCGGATACGTCACTATTCGAGCGTGGCTCTCATGTGGATCTCATGTGACACCATGGTGAAACAAAGGCATGGGGGGATGACAAGGTCAGCATCCGCATTTTGTACCAACAGCTCACGCCATTGTGGCTTGGGCTTTGCCATGTGCTATCGTGCATGCACTGGCAATCTTCTATCGTCCTCACAATGTGCAGCGGGAAAGAGCACTGCTTTGGTGCTCATGACACCTTGGGAACGATCAGCAGCTGCTGTTTCCCCTGCGGTTGATGGTTCTGATAACATGCACTTCTCAATCACAGATTCGAGTGAAGTGAGTGAAGGTGGTGAGCGATTCTTGGCTCATCATTATGTGCACAGAGCAGTACGTCAGAGCAAGTCCGGGACCTATAAATACAAGAAGACATAGAAGACGGATGCACACACTAAACGGAAGCGGGATCTTCAGACGGACGACACGGGCTTCTGACCAGAGGATCCTTAGCTCAAAGACAGCACGATACGAACCGTGATCGCAAAACCCTCCGCACCGCCGAACCTGTGATCCCATCTGATGCAGGGCAAAATGCATGTCACGCCCTTATGGCCATTCTGGCTGAGACGAGCTGCTGTGGAATTCATCGCATCGTGAAACCTGCCAAGCTTCAACACGAAGACGTACTGAGGCCCACAAGGCAAGCACGATATTGTCTGAACAATATTTGGGCGGCATCCAGTCGTACAGAGAGCACACAAGATGCCGGTCAGGGAGGTGCTAGCAACTTCGTCACTCTGGATTGCAGGTTCCTTGGGGTTCGTCATTCTTGATACCTCATCCCACCGAATGGCTCTCAAACCTGCGTGCCCTGTTGCAATCGATTTTGATCTTAGTTCAGTACACAGGCTGTACGAGATAACTTCCTGCGAGGCATGCTGCACTGAGGCCTCGAAGGCACTGTCAAAGAGCCGGCCTGTCCAATTGAGACATGAGCGCGCGCGCATTTGTTTCATGTTGAAGGTAGGCCTGGCCGAACCTCTTAACTGATGTGAGGCTTTCGTGATGGTGCCCATAATTGGGCTGCCTGCCGCGCTGCTCTGCGTGCATATCACGGCCTTGGCAACAACAACACACTGAGCGTGCACCGTCGTGGGGTTGAGTTCCCCTGAGGCCTAGACTCTGGTAGCCACCCGAGTCAGTGAGACCTCCGCTCAGGACTATTGTGGATGAGGATGGACGGGGCATTCCGAAAAAACAAGGAAACCGCAAATGCACATCCGAATGCCTGGTTTTCCCCAGGTTCTCAACTTCGCAGCCGAGTTTACGAAACGCCCATTAAGATACTACTTTACAAAGACCTGAAACGTGACCTGGTGTTCTGCCGTCCGGGGCTTCCCCTAAACTAGCAACACTAGCCGTTGATGACGCGGTGTAGCATTGCTGAGACCAAAGATTGCAAAGATCACCGGACGAGACTCGATCTGCTAAAGACATGTCATTCCAATTCAATGCGGAACGCACATCATGCATGTTGAACGCTCGAATGCTCCGCAGCTTGTGCTTAGAAAAAGCCTTCTGCCTTGAGGGTAAGATGGAGGCCCCTCTGCCAGAAGCTCGCTTTGGAGGCCCGGGAGCGGGTTGACTTCTGTGTCATCTTGACAACTGGCAGCCGATCTCGGATCCCCAGATCCTAGATAGCGCCCAGGCACCCGCAATTGCTTCAAGGGACCGATCCATTTGGAGAAGAAGAGCCTCGTTGCAATTAAGCCTTTCTTTGATGAGCCTTTCACTGCTCGGTACCATTGTATTGGACGTCTGCCAAGGTGGTGTTTGGCGTTCAGAATTCCTTGTCCTGGCAAGGTTTCGATGCTAGTTTACACCAGCATAGCCACAGATGGCCGCGCTCGCGTTTGTGGCTTGCCGACCCGTTTGGTTTTCCAGTTGACAGGACGACCCTGTGCGATCGCGTGCATGTCCTGACAACCCTGCGACCCTGCACCGGAACACCACGCAAGCATAGGTACCCCCTGCATGTGGAAACATCCCCCCTGCTTAGCACACATGAATGAAGGTCAACTGACAAAGCTTTAAGCAACACTGCACATTGCGAATTCATACTCCATCCTCTCGAACGCAGCTTTTACACTGGGTGCGAGGCCGAACGCTTGACCTCAGGGTGCGCGAAAGGCATCCGATGTATCTGTCAACACGTTCATGCAGAAACAAGAACTTGTCGGTGTTTGGTTCCGTGTATATGTGTGGTTGTACGCCATGCAGCTATGTACCGCTACACAATCATTCATGTGTACCACCCCCAACAAACGCCACAACATCAAACCCAGCAGCCAGCCAACGAGCGAACTAACGAACAATAAAACAACGACAAGACCCCCACACACACACACAAACATGCATGCAGACATGCACGTAGACGTACATACTGGTACATACAGATAGAAGGATACACACATACAGATGCCTACAGACACATACAATCACATACAGGTACATACAGATAGATAGATAGCTGCATACATACAGATACATAAAGACAGACAGCCAGACAAACAGACCGACGCTCACACAAATACGTGCGCCGTACATGCACACATACATGCATACCTATACGTAAGTACGTGCCTGCATGCACGCATACATACATCTACATATCCATATGTATATACATATGCATGCACGTATACACATACACATACATGCACACTTGCACGTACATAATATACAAATACGTATTTATACAGGTACGTACGGACATGCATACACGCACACGCATGCTCAGGTACATAAATACATACATAGCTCCACGGATATAGAAATTGTTAAACTGATTTAGAACGACTGGTACCAACAGATAAACAGTTTGATGGCAGCTTCTCATACTACTGCATAAGATGGAGTATCATGTGAAGTGGCATTACAGAAATGAAACCCGACACCGCAAGTTGTACGGACAGCAGACCCAGGCGGCAACATCAAGCAATCATAGCATCTGACGTACTCTAGCTGACGAGAGAATATTAGCCGCATGAGGCATGGGTCTATTACCGTACACCCCAATGCTATCGTTGTTCTTGTGGGGTCAGGGTTGTAGGATGCAGTCGCACTGGAGTGCATGACAGCTAGTGCTGCACGTGTCTGCTCAGGCAGGGGGTTTGCGGCACACCAGATCAGGAAAACCGGACCGTCACAGTCAACTCACTCCACAGGTAGACGGGGCCACACCACGTGGCTGGAGGGCAATGCAGCCCTGAATCCTTGTCCCAAGTTGTTGTATCGTCCGTGCAGCTCTCGAGCGGTGCTCCAGCCCCCGCCAAACATGTTTTGACATTTGCAAGCACGCATCCTTCCTCTTCTGATCCCTTATGCGACTGCTTGGCTTGAGAAGCAGCCTCCTTGGAAAATACCAGCATGACGACTTCGGCCGCTTCGGCGAGACAAGTGAGGGGCAACACCACCTTGAATCGCAGCATCAACATTGACATTCGACCTCGCAGATGAAGCACAGCTGCCGATCCCTCACAATTGAAATATTGGTATGTGTCGCAGTAGCCTCGCATGCGTCAGCCTTGCGGCATGCCTTGTACAAATCTTCAGTGACAGTGGGTGCATGCGCAGTCCCTGCGCCTTCAGCGTGGCCAAGCATGAGGATCCGAGGGGTAGTGATTGCTTCTACGCCATTCTACGCTGGCTTTTGTACATCCATTTGTCAATCTAAAAGTGTAGATTCTGAATATGCACACACACACACATGTGTGTGTTACGTGTGAACAAACATGCATGCTGCGTTTACTTCATTCATGGATTCATGGTGTCTGATGTGAGATCCGGACCCATTCTCCCCAGCATCGTCTCGCCGAGCCCTGAATTTTCAGAGGCATCGCGCGGTCCGCACGCAGCTCGCACTCAGCCCACCCGTATCCGACGTATCTGCGTCGCCTGCGCCAAGCAGAGGTCCATCTGCCTCAGGTCCCAAGATATCATTCGCTGAGCTAGGCTCTGGTGTGGCTGCTTCAGCTATTCGGTATGAACGGGAATCCGGTCAACTCCAACGCACACGACTTCATGACTGCACAGGCTCAGCGCATGCAGAAAGCCGTTTCCGAAAACGACGACCTGCAGTTGCTAAGCCACACACCTCCTCTGTGCCCACGGCCGTGTAGCCCATGGCCGCTTTGTACCTTTCCCAAGACTCTACACGAGACATCCAGCTTCGACATGATATCAATATCTGCACGCACCGGGCGCGGAAACTTGGCCAAGAAAGCTGCGAGTGGATTGCCGAGGGTTTGCCGGGCGATGCGTCAAGCACCGTGCCCCGAGATCGCAGTGTTGAAGGAACCCTCTGAGGCTTGTCGCGATGTTGTGGTTCGATGGCTAAACCGGCAACTCAGAGCTGGGCCATGGAACCGCTGGCGACTCAAAGCGAACCTCCAGAGCTGGACGAAGTCACCGTGTACCCTGCGCGCTTGAGATGCGCTTGAGTTTCCAAGGCCGGAACTGTTTTCGCAGAGCCCCCGGCAGATGCCAGAACCTGTCCAAAGGCAAGGCCTAAATTATCGCAGCCTTGTCGCTTGGTCAACAGATAACTGGCACGAAGTCAGCGGCCATGCTTAGCGTGTCTTGCAAGGTGCCTGCTCGCTATTCGAAGTTGGCTGAGCTGCCTCAGACACAATCTTGCGACGCATTTGCGGTGTCGAGATCGTGACAGCCCCTACCTGCTTGTGGAGTAGCCGGCTGGCCTGGCCGGTACAGAAACCGTTTTCTGTGACCCAGCAGCAATGACTTATAGTGGACGGTTTCTAAAATGCCGGAGTCACATCACCGGAAAGGATGGAGTTCACCTGGCATCAGGTATGCAGGCCAGAAACTGCCGAAGTGCCGGGATTGCTGGTGATTGGAAGTATCAATGATTCTTGCACGTTCTGCGATTTATCTCTCTGTTGTGCATCTCGCACGGTGAGGCAATGCTGTGTACAAAACTGAGCATTTTTGGTACCCTCGTCAGGATATCTTTTTCTGCTTGAACCATTTTGAATGGAGCTCTGGGTCCTGCTCCCAGTCGTGTGCGGCACTCTCTCATTTCATTGCCCGTGACCTGCTCTTCGGTGAGTGGAAACTGCACCGGATGAGCAGCCTCTTCCTGCGAGAGGAAGGGACTTGGACTCCACAACGGACACGAATCGCAGAATCCTTCAACTCAGCTTCCCAGCTGCTCCGAGTGCCGCCATGCCTTACGGTGTTTCGGACACAGGACGGCACTTTTGACCTCCCACCGTGTTCAAGCGGCACTGAGGCGCTAGCGAGTAGTTCAGCAAAACAGTCAGGTTGGACAAGAAGTGCGTAACCTCTTGTTTGCCACCATGAAAAACCGGCTCCCGGAAGCGTGTGTGGATCTAACAGGTGCCAAACAAAGCTCGCCCTTGCTTGCATCGTGCTTGCATTATTCCACAGGCTTCATTCTGTGATGCTGCTGGACGCATAGCACCTGCAAGGAAAGCCCACAGTGCTCGCGATTCGCTGGCATGGCTCTACGACCCAATGTGGCTAGGGCCAAGTTCAATCCAAGCGTCCCAGCTGTTCAGCGGGAAGTCGGCCTGTTGCATGCTGTCGCGAGAGATGCCACTTTGGACTTTGCATGATTGTACGACGAACATTCCCGCAACAGTTGGTGTTCAATACTTATCGACACATATGCCCTTTTGTGTGACGGCCTGGACGCCGCGCTTTGCCACTTGTGACGGCTAACTGCTACTATCTGCCACTGCAGATGCTCCTGCTCATCCTCTTCCTCCTCCTCCTATCTGCTATTGCTGGTACCGCTACCGCTACAGCTAACTACTGTGCTACTAACCCCAGCAGCCCACACCCTAAACCCTAAACCGCAAAACCCCAAACCCCAAAGACCCTAAACCCTAATGCTAATACTGGTTCTAACTCAAACGACAAACGCTAAACCCTTAACTCTAAAACCGCAAACCGCATGCACCGGGCGCGGCGGCCGGGCTCGCATAAGCCTTAACCGTAAAACCACGAACCCTAAACCCGAAACCCCAAACAAAATACTAATACTGATCATAACCATCCCGTCAGTTGGGGGAGGGACTGCTTCGAGAACAGCTATTCAGACCCTGTTTCGAGGGTCTGGATTGCCTGCTTTCGAGGCCTTTCTTGGAATGGGGAATCTGGTCCAGACCCTCTTTTGAACTTGACAATTCAGAACCCCCAGGATTGAAACCTTCGACGGAGACTCAACTAAGATGGGTTGACTGCTGTGACATGCTGTGACTCTACGGGAGTGAGTCCTGTGTGTTTGCACGCTCGTTCGTGTGGGTGCGGGATGTGGGTTCGGATGCCTTCTGTGTGGTGTGGGTGTGGAAGTGTGTGTATGTACATATGTTACGCACATATACATTTTTCAGTACAAATATACATATGCATATATGTATATATGTACTCATATATACAAATGTATGTACATAAAAAGCCGTAGCCAAGGCGTAGCAGCCGTAGCCATGCAGCAGCCGGAGCCGTAGCAGGAGCAGCAGCCGTAGCCATAGCCGGTGGCGTAGCAGCCGTAGCCACGCAGCAGCCGGAGCCGTAGCAGCAGCAGTAGGCGTAGCAGTATACTCAGAGCAGAAGCAGCCGTAGCCGCAGCGGGAGGCGTAGCAGCCGTAGCCATGCAGCTGGAGCAATAGCAGTAGCCGTAGCAGTAGCCATAGTAGTAGCCATAGCAGAAGCAGGAGACGTAGCGGCAGCAGTAGCCGTAGCAGTATACAATAGTAGTGGTAGTAGTAGTAGTAGCAGTAGCAGCAGTAGTAGTAGTAGTAGTAGTAGTAGTAGTAGTAGTAGTAGCAGGTAGTAGTAGTAGTAGTAGTAGTAGTAGTAGTAGTAGTAGTAGTAGTAGTAGTAGTAGTGGTAGTAGTAGTAGTAGTAGTAGTAGTAGTAGTAGTAGTAGTAGTAGCAGGTAGTAGTAGTAGTAGTAGTAGTAGTAGTAGTAGTAGTAGTAGTAGTAGTAGTAGTAGTAGTAGTAGTAGTAGTAGTAGTAGTAGTTTAGTAGTAGTAGTAGTAGCAGTAGTAGTAGTAGTAGTAGTAGTAGTAGTAGTAGTAGTAGTAGTAGTGGTAGTGGTAGTAGTAGTAGTAGCAGCAGCATGCAGGTACCACTACTACGACTCCTACTCCTACTCCTACTGCTACTCCTACTCCTCCTCCTCCTCCTCCTGCTGCTGCCACTACCAGTACCACGAGCACCACGACTAGTACGACTACTGCTACGACGACTACTGCTACACTACGAAAAATACCACGACCACCACTACGACGACTACCACGGCAGCAGCAGCAGCAGCAGCTGAGGAGCAGCAGTAGCAGTTTGGCATTCGAGCTGCGCTGATGTTACAGCTGATGTTGCAAAACTGAGGGAGAACCATCGTATACATGTGCGTAACTCTGATATACTTTCGTACACATGGTCACAAAGGAAAGGAGACGTGATTCTGATTCTCCACCAACAGGTATCGATTGCCACTGGTGGACAAGACGCAGAACCGCTGCCACAACTAAGCAGGTCAGTCAAGTCGGCACTCTCACAGAACATCCGTCCTGGATGTCTACATCTGATACCAGAAAAGCTCGATCTTTCCGTGGAAGCTTTGCGACGGCCGCGAACTAAGAGCCATGGTTCATGATAAGAAATTGAGACCGCCTCGTGCACGCCGTCGAAGGGATAGTTCAAACTGCTCAGGAGCTCAAACAAGCCCAGTATGATCCTAAGCTAGCAGCGGTAGCGTACAATCATTCCGGTCTCTTCTTGCGTAGGACTCAGCTGAACTTCTGCTGCACTAGGTTTATTTATAGTGAGGGTTTTCCTAAATGCCAAGGCGCAGCAGAGAGGTTGCATAAGCAGGCGGTACCTGTAGAGCGGCCACCACCGACGTGTGCAAACCCGATTATGTCTTAAGCGTACTAGAGGCAGTCCGCACACGCTTGGCGAAATCATGTTCAGACTTCCAATGAGCTTGTTGTCGACTATTGAGGCAGGCGCGATCCATGAATCGCACAGACCGACGCACAGCCCTAGGTAGGCCGTGGTCAGGATGACCAGAGTACCTGAGTGCACACAGGGAAAGACATGAGCAATTCCAGTTCCCCAGCTCTGGATGCTCCTCAGGAGGACTCGCCCTCCAGCCTCAGGCTTGAGCTGAGCAAGTGGAAGTATTCGAAGGGCAGCATCGCACTCGCGGCATCGAGCAACTGCCAAGGAAGTCTCAACGGTCAGTTCATGCAAGAACTTCTGCACAATCTAGTGGTGCGGTGCCGTTGACACAACTTTCATGTCACAATGCCTGCAGCTGGTAGGACTTGCAGTCGACAAGGCGCTGCAGCAAATCTCGTTGTGTTGCTGGTGCCTGTCGAGAGCATCGCAGTGCCCACTGTGAAACTTCCGGAAGCTCTCATCACATCCCTGCATAGCCAAGCGGCAACTTCCGCTTTTCCCGAGCCGTGCAGTGCACAGTCACAGGCTGTGTGCATCATGACGAGCGTCCTCAGGGCATAAACGAAGTCTTGCTCTGAGTTGTATGGTATCGACCTGGCAGCCTCTCAGTGGTCCGACGCGTGTCTTGAGTTGTAGCATCTGAAGTCTGAAGCAACACTGGAACGAAGAAAGGTCTGAAGCTTGAGGTGATTGCGCAGCTGTAGCTGCCATTTATGGACTGGGGCCTGAGGCTGCCCAGTTCTGCCGTTCTAAAAGCTTTGCAACTCGCTTGCCTCTGCCTTGCTGAAAGACTGTGCGGATCCAGGAAGTCCGCTTCACCAGGCCTGCGCTACCAGCTGCTGTTCGCTCAACACACGAATTGAAAACCATACACTAGGAAAGCCAGGGGCTAGCGCTCCGGTATATAAACCTTGCAGTCTTCACGAGTGTCGGGCACACTTAAACAAGTACAAACGAATAAAGGCATTTATAGATAGAAAGATAGACAGATCGATATACAGTGGCTGATAGAGAAAGAGATGGAGAAACATTGGGATAGATAGGAACAGATGTACGCATACATACACATACGCACATGTGTGTATATATGTATATATATATATACACATGTTCATGTGTATATTTATATGTATGTATATATATATATATATACAAGTACCTACACATGTACTCCCATACGTACAACATACACGCTTTCTATCGCTTTCTCGATATTTTCCGATTGCAGTTGAAGATGCTGGACAATCGTGCTTGAAGGGCTTACAAAACACTCGAAACAGACATGCCTTGAACCACATGAAACAGAAACTCCTTGAAACATACATGCCGACCTCAGCACTACCTCAGCGCAGTCCTGTTTCAAAGCATTTCTCTTTCGACCATTTATACACACATGTATCCACATACTGCTACGCACTCTCATGTACCCACGCTTTGTGCTTGAATCGCTTGGGATCGTCGTCGTCTCTGCAAACCTTTCCAGTCTCATCTATTCTTGGTCATATGACAAGATACTTAGTTCTGTTAGCGTGAGTAATACCAACCCAGTTAACACTCCGCACCTCCCCTTGTCGTACTATGTCTTAGTTCAAATTCTCTAGGTACACATTACTCCTACGATTCAGTCAGAGTAAGCTGCTATTCTGTGCAGACCGCTGTATATATGCATGCCTGTATGTGCGAGTGTGTGTGTGTGTATATATATATATGCGTATATCTATGCCCGCCTTTGTATGTACGTATGTATGTGTGTACGTATACATTTTTCTACAAGCAGTTGTGATCAAAAAAGATAAACACGTGCACAACTTAAGAGAATATGCTTGTTTGGCGTTGGAGGATATGGGGCGTGGTTTAATTAGTCGCCGTGGCTTCAAGATTGTCCAGTTCTGGCGCTCGCATGTTCAGGTGGCTCCATAATAATGTGCATCTGCTGCTGACTCTTCGCTGCTTGCTGCCAGGAACCTTTCTTGCAAGCTGAGCGGTTTAAGCTTGCGTTAGCTGCTCCCACTTGCTCTTCCAGCTCAGGGCTACAGGTCGCGAAGCACTCAGAATAAGCGATAAGAAAACAGTTTTAGAATGTCCGGAAGTAGTAATAAGGCATTTGCATGTCTTCCCATCTCTTCCAGCTGAGTCCTGATAAACTCCAGATCCACCAACTTCCTGGCAGACAAACAGAGATCACAGTCAGGCAAAGGGCGGCTTGGAACAGTGACAATCGTAGAGCATGTTGATGGATAGGGACTGGCAGCGAGTGAACAACTCAAGCGCGAATCATGTTTACCGTGTCAGCATGCCTGACGCTTCGGGTGAGCACTGGAAGCGTTACAAGCTAACTATGCGACATGCGCCTGCAGAGATTGTTGGGTTGGCCATGGGGCGAAGTGCGTTCATGATTCACCAGTATTTAAGGCAAAATCTTCATTGCAAGCAACAATACAGATGCTGCAACGCCTGGCCAGCCTACGACAAGGCCTCTGGGGGCCATCGGAGAAGACCACAGCAAATTGAGTCGAGTAGCTGAAGCAACCAACAGCGGAAACAGGACAGCTTCACAGAAGATCATTCTGTTGAATGGTGCCGTCTGTGTAGCTTCTCCTGCACGGCAAACCCTTCATGCTCTACGATGCTCCGCATAGTGTAGCGAGGAGGGGAGTGGCCTCATTGCCACCAGAACGCCATGGGGCTACACATGGCTACACTGCATACTCGATGTCTTCTCTCAGTGGCTGCTGGCTCTCGGAAACGATGCTCCTGATCTCGCACAGGACCAGGATCAAAGAACCCTTGGATCACAATCATCAAGGCGCGATTCAACATCAGGGCCGTCGGCGGCTTTCAGCGCAGGATTTCTTCAAACTCCAAGCAAGGCACCACAGCCCATCGACAGCCAAGCCGGTCGTACCTGAGTCAATCATGCACATTCGACTCCAACTCAATACCCCCTGTCAACTCTGGATAGCTCTGGCCGACTATCTCCCAGCCAAGAACACCAAAGGAGAATCCAAGGACAAGCCTGATTCCTGCGGCCGCGGTGTCTGTTGGAACTAGAGTCTAACCAGATGCAGCTGAAGCTCGGTTCGTTCTCTTTGCGCAAGAACAGCCGAGCCTCTCGAAACGGAGCCATCAGAAAAGCATAACATTCGCCATACTCTAGGACTTCTCGGATCTCCTTAGCATGGGAAGCTTTGCCGAGTTTGTCTTCTGAATGCTCCGGCGACTCTGTTTAGGTGCTCGACAGCTGTGTTCCCTGTACATTCCGACATGTTGTACAGCACTTCGTACAGCGAGGACAGGGGAGGGCCAGATTGCCGAATGCGCAACCATGTGCAGTTCAAAACACCGCTTGCTGTCATAACTTGTGCTCGCGCGCTCCCGCTACCTTGGCTTGGCCTTGGCCTCCGCAGATGCGTGAATTCTGCACGTGCTCTTCGGCGGGCTTTCGCTCTCTGTCTGGTTTTGGCGACGAAGCCAGGGGCCAAATACAGAAGCGGATCTCAGCAGACTCTTGGGCCTTTGCATTCCGTGCCGACGTGCCGAGCCTCGAAGGCGAAGTCATATACGCTGTCCATTGCCTTCCTGCCCCGGGCCGTGGAAGAGTCGGCTACGCTACAAGGAACCCATCTAAGTCGCTGGTGCGTCAGACCGCAGACACTCGTGTTGCTTGCCGCGATTCCGAAATCACCAAAACTCTTGTTCTCTGGCTCACTCTCACAGCCGGCCTGACCAACTGGCCCAACTGCAAATATCTGAAGTATGCCCTGGTCAGGAGACAACAGGGACATTCCGTGCACGACGGTACAGGTCGCCGTTTGAGGAGAGGGCTGGTTCACTGCGAAGCACAAGGCGCAGGACCTTGGAGGCTCCACTGCTCCACCCAGCGCACTCAAGGCTCGCGAAGATGAACTCCTTTCTCCTTTCTTTTCACACCAAGAAGCATGAGGACGAACATTAGCTCCACGTCAGACCACTCGAGCTCCTGCAGGCCTAGCCTGGCCGCAGAACGCAGAGACGCAAAGAAACGTGTAGAAAGAACTTGCCGAAAAGCACGCTCTCCGCATCTCTGCTGAGGCCATGCGGCCAATGGCAGGGAGAAAAAGCACAGGCAAAGAGACCTTCATCAATAGCTTCAGCAAGGCCTCCACCCACCACCCTTCTCACCCATGAAGCCGCTGTTGTAAGCAGCGAATGCCTTAGTTGTGCAAAGACCCTTCCCCCCCAATGACCGTGATCATGCCAGTCGATTCACATCGTCTCCAGAGAGAACCCATGAAATCAGCATGCAAGAATCTGAGTCCACGACCGCTAGGTGCAAGGACAGGAGCAGCCAAAAGTCGGTCCGGAGCAGCACCTTCTGACTTCTGACTGCAGTCTTCTCGTGCTCTTGCCATGCTTTTGCGCATGGCTGCACGCCTTGGGACCGACGGAATGACCAAGCCGAAGCCTGGCTCGCTGCACGTCGGCAGATGTTTCTGGCAGCGGACGAACCCTGCTGGGCAGCTGGCATCGTCATCACGTATGACCCGTTGGGGCTGTAGAAGCGACCTCGATGTCGCTTGCTGTTTTAGGCCTCGCTAGGCCTCTACAACACAATGATATCGGGCTACGTGGAAGAGCCTCTGTCTGCGTTAAGACCAGGACGGCATGCCCTGGCGGCCAAAACCAGCGCGATGGCTAAGTCGCGTGCCGGACGTCAGGGGCGGGATGGGTAGTCCGTCTGGTGATGGAAAAGTAGAACCTCCAGCACTTGCTGTCAAGATCAATGCTGGTTCAGATAGATGGTTGAAGCTGCTTGCTTGTGTCGAAAATACTGATCTGGGGCCGTGGCGATTCATTGCGGGAAGAGATCTTCAGGTTCAAAAGCGCGGCGATTTGTGCCAGTGCAACTACCGAGCTATTGGCTGTCTGGAGCTGACAAACCAGACCGCTGTCGCCGTCACGAGAACCACCGTGTTTCGAACAGGAGTCAATGGCTTCTCGAATACAAGATGCACAAATATCTCCATAATACTGACGCTGATGATGCTCCGATTGCAAGCTGGAAATTGAAGACGGTACCAAGCTTGCAACGCATGCTTGACACAAGCCGTCTGCCGTTGATACATCAGTGCCCTGGAGCCACGACCACGCCCAAGCTGCATTCATGAAACGCTATTCCAACACACTCTTGCCGTGCGGTCTGTGTCTGTCGTCAGCACTGCGTGACGAATTCCTTCCTAGTTGCCTTCCATTTTGTGTCAAGCGGGGGCAGGAAAGCCAAAATGAGAGACAGGGAGAGGGAGAAGGGAGGGGGAGACAGAGAGAGAGAGATACAAAGAACTAGACAGAGAGAGAGAGAGTATGAGAGAGAGAGAGAGAGAGAGAGAGACAGATAGAGAGAGAGTGAGAGAGACAGAAATAGAGAGAGAGAGAGAGAGATACAGAGACAGAGAGAGAGGGGAAGAGAAAAAGAGCGAGAAAGAGCCACAATAGAGACAACAAGACAGGGACAGACAAAGAGAGGTACGATCACGAAGGGTGAGGATCGTGGTAAGGACCGAGAAACAGCAAACCAAAGATATGGGTCTAAAAATGTTATTCCTCGAGTCCTTCCTTTTCCTGCCCCCGGATCTTGACATACTTCGGCGAATCCTCCCAGACGTTGATTGGCGGGTGCAGTCATCCGGGGCCTTGTCGGAAGTATTTTGGCTTGGGCCTACACTTGCATGGCTGTTTCTGCCAAGCCGGCATGCAAAAAAATACTCTTGGGATCGGAGGTAGTTTCTACGTTTGCGCGGTCGTTCTCGTGCTCATGCTGGTGGTCGCGGTCGCTAGTATCGCTCTTGCTTGGTTTCCTCTTCTTCCAATCAGCTCAATGAGCTTCGGTTTGTGCTAAGCTTGCAAGCACCCCATGGCCGGCGACCGGTAAGAGCTGCACAGTGCTGGAAGCACTTTTACATGTCTTTTGTCAGCGTCTGCGAACGTCGCTGCGTCCGGCATCGCCTTGCCAAGGGCTCCGTCCGGGAGGCTCGCAGCTAAGCCCGGTTGATCTGGACAGACAAACTGTCAGCCTGTCGGCCCCAGGTGCTGTACACTTTCTGCCCCAGATTGAACGCTTCTTTGACGACTGCGTGGATTTCCTCACGTCCGTAGCTAGTGAACTGCAATGCCTTTTACTTTCTGGCCTGACTTCCTGAATGTGGTGTTGCCCGCATGGAGCATCTCCACGCGAGCATGCTCACAACGATGGCAGGAGGATTACGCAAAGAGCTCATGCCGTCGCCCCGCACCGTTTCCCGCTCTGGCTTCTGGATCCCGAGGATGCCAGCGTCTGATTGCCCTTCCTCATTCCACACGACGGTCTTTTGCACAGAATCTTGAGGTGATATGCCAGAGCCGGTCGCCCTGCTTCCATGCACGGCGTTTTACGTGATCCTGGCTTGAAGTTGGGATCTACTCCACCTTCCACGGCCTGACATGATGGAAGCGCGATAAGAAACACAGCGTCACACTGGCATCAAAGAGGATTGGCAGGTGCTGAGAGCAACACAAGCCTGAAACCAGAGAGCACGGTACCGAAGCATGCGTGTTACATGCTGTGCCCCCATTTGCTGACACCTATTCCGACCCTGACAGCGGTGGCTGAGAGGGGGTCTTCGGGGGTATGGCAACAATGGGTTGCTGCCGGCAGGGATGACAAGCCGAAAGACGTCATGCTGTTTAAAACCAGTGGCATAGGAGTCTCTGGAAAGTTTTGGCACGCCCGCTGCTCAGATTGGTTTTCATGTATTTGATGTTGTCTGGATGCCAATTTTGTTATCAGAAGTAGATACGCTTAGTCTTAATATGCATACTGCGAAGGTTGCGAGTGTGCACTTCATTTGTTTGCGCGCGTTACGAACAAGTGTTGCCTTCAAAGTTAGAGTATTCTTATTACTTGGATGCGACTCCGCCAACATTAATACTCTACAATATGTTGGGTAGTAAACAAAACAATATTCGGGTCAACTTCGGGGTCGATAGGGAGCTGGTTATCACAGCTACCGCTTGATGTCTTCTAGCTGACTGAAGTTGTACATTAAATGAGAAACATCGGGGTCAGATTCTGGGTGGTATTAAGCCTACTATGGATGGCATTAGGGCTGCTGTCAGGACGAATATTACGGTCACCATTGACATAACGGCGAATGACAAGGATATGATTAGGGCTGATGCTGTTTGGAAAAGGAGTCAGCTAATGATCTTCGTCACTATGTTGGTACCTAATACAGGTTTAACCTGGTTCTTTACATTTATGTGTATATAGACACATAAATGTACATACCGCATACGGGCAAGTCCGACAGCAAGTCTGACAGTGAGAGATGGGGCGCCATGTACTATATGTTGAGGTAAACAAACAAATGCTGGTATAATCCCTAGAAGTCGAAGAGCCATCTTTTGCGGAACACCAGAACGAAAACAGCAAGGATCGCGGTTCTTAATGGAATCCGTTTCGTGTAGGTTAATATTAGCATGAACATCACGGCAACCGTTGAAGCAAATGTTTGGGCAGTATCTAGCTTACATGTATTAATATTAACAGTAACTAGCAATGGGGATGCCATGGCTTTTGACTCCGGAGACTTGAATGGGAACCCACGGCTGCATCTGGATGCGCTAACATGTTGATGAGGCCAATTGTCATTATGTGGGTTGCAGCTGAAGGAAGTAACCGGCACAAGGAAGAGCTTATGGGTAATATTAAGTTTGCGAGTAAGGTCCATCTTGGGGGGACGGCAATATCCTTACTATCAGGGGGCCAGTCACGCTGATGTATGTGATTGTATTAACCTTGTATTGACCTTCAGCTCGGCATGAAAGTTGCTAAGGGGATGTATACATAATGGGGTGACAGGTCGACAAAACATAACATGTTAATCCATACGAATTACGACGTGAATCTAGCAGGCACCATTTGTGGGTGAACATGAGGTGGAAGACTACTGTCACCATTGGCGCCAATGTAAGGTCTAATGGCAGGGATAGTCTTAGGATATTCGTGTTTAGGCATAGGAGTCAGTCAATGCTCACGATCAGTCATACGTATTGCTGGGGCTTGGATCTGACACTGTAGCGAAAGCTACGTCAGGTGTTAATGCTCGTGCACATATTGAGCTTCGGGTATTCCGACAGACATGACTTTCATCGTTGGGAAGTTATATGTCAGAGTACCTGTGTGAAGGTTCACAACAATTGAGAATGCAGGCCGCTGCCGATATACATATGCTGTCCCCTCCAAATTTCAAAATCGAACACTAAGCCTGGATCATACAATAGAAGCCTAAACCTAGGAGGAGTGGTGGCATTATCGCAGCACCTCCGCAGTAGTTCTTCGGGGGGGCTAGCATATGGCATATGTATAAAAGGTCAAGCGCTCCGCCCCCCCCCCCTTCCCCCCTCCCCCCCCTAAGGTCAATGGTCCGGATATAGGGCTCCCCTGTGGTGTGGGGTGCGGGGTCCCTCTTTTGACTGTGGAGTGGTTGTGGGGTTTTGGGGTTTAGGGTTAGCTTAAGCTTTTGAGTGTTGGGTGTACGGTTACAAGGTATAGCGCTTCGAGTCGACAGGGCTTCAGGAGCATTTGCGGTGTATGTTCTGCTTTAGGCTTAGAGCCTGCAGTTAGGTGGGGTTTAGGGTTGGGTGTAGGGATTGAAGTACAAGTTAAGGTTACGCAAAACAGGGGCACGCGCTGCGTTATAGGGTTTACGGCTTGCTTGCGAGCCCTGGCCGCCAGCACCATCCCACCATCCAGTGGCAGCTCCAACAGCCCCGACCCCTTTCCGCACACGCCAGCCCCACCCCCGCACCCCTAGCATACCATACCATTGCGGGGGGGTGGGAACGCCAGACGCCTGACCATATATGTATATGCTCCCCCCCCAGGATCTACCTCGAAGCCTCCTGCGATCCTACCTTGAACACATCAAAACCAGAATAGACATGTTAAGTATTGCCTAGTGCTCCTTCTCTACAACGACATAAACACACCAGAAGCGAAATAATCATGTTAAGTATTGCATAAAACCCCTCTTTTACAACGATATTATATAACGGTATAAACATATCAACAGCGAAATAATCATGTTAAGTATTGCCTAAAGACCCCTTGCCTACAACGATCTACAACGATATAAGCCTCTTGAAACCTGAAATAATCATGCTAGTATTGCCTAGTACCCCTTGTCTACAACGACCTATAACGATATAAACCCATTAAAACCGAAATAATCATGCTAAGTATTGCCCAATACCCCTTGTCTACAACGACATAAACCCTGCAACACCAGAATAGTCATGCTAAGTGTTGCCTAAGCCTTCTTGGCTACAAAGGCATAAACCCGTTTAACTCCGGATAGTCATGCTAAGTATTGCCAAACGTCTAGACCTAAACCGAAAAATCTGAAATATGTCTGTGTTGCGACTCGCCAAGGCACTTGGAATGGGGGGGGAGCTTGTGTTGTACATACTACATAATGCAGGGATGACACACACAAATCACTTAGGGAAACACCTGCGCATTCCGCTTTTTCTCCTAACAACATCGTCACGTGTGAAACATCCTTCAGTGCTTTGTCAGCACTAGACGTACTTCATCATGCTCTTCATGATACGGACACATCTTCCATATCTCGTTGAGGCTACATACATCCAAAGTAGCAGGACTGCCACTTTGGCAATCATTGCATTCGCCTTTACACGTCCGATTCCACCCGATGCTGCTTTCCGGGTGTTCCACTTGGATAACCGCTTTGGGGTCTAGATATGTTTGGAGAAGCATGGCAAGTATTGTGGTTGCCGCGACGCTCCTGTGCTTGCCTGCTCTACATTTACAAAGCACCTCGATTTCACGTCGTGACCAGGCCAAGCTGATGACCCGTGCCAGCAGGCAGCGAAATTTATTGATCGACAGTGGAAGATTTAATATTCGTGGGTTCCAGCATATGTGAGACAACGTAGTCGGGTCCTTTCCTGGATCGGCAATTTTTTAAGAAGATTTCTACTCTCATTCTCGCTAAACAGTTGAACTACCATCAAAGGCGGAAAGGCTGGTTCCTTCACTCTGTGACTTCCTGAAGTAGAAGGCGGAAAGGCTGGTTCCGTCACTCTGGGACTTCCTGAAGCAGAACGCGGAAAGGCTGGTTCCTTCACTCTGGGATTTCTAGTACGCTCACGTTCTGAGGTAGAAGGCGGAAAAGCTGGTTCTTTCACTTTGGGACTTCTAGTACGCTCATTTTCTGAGGTAGTACAAGCACGAGAGGTCACCGGCGGCGGTTGCTTCCCAAGATCATCTTCAGCTCGACGTACTGGAACTGCTTTAGCGGGTACTGTGGCTTTGTGTTGTAGGTTAAGATCCGGCGGTAGAACAGCAGCAGTACTTGG